TAATACGAAAGGAGTTACTACAAATTCGATGCCGGCCACTTGTGGGTTGTGGGTTGTAAGGGATTTGAGGATTGAAGACGGGAGTGAAGAAAAATCTGGCCTCCGATAACCTCACTTGTAAAGCGGAACACAACGTAATTTAAGGCTGCAATTTGTTTCACAACAATTATTGAACATTATTTTTTGTATTTAAAATGAGTGATTGGGTAGTTTCCTAAATGAAATAAAAATTATGTTGACTTTTCAATAAAATGAATCATTAAAATAAAATCATAGTTTTCTTCATCCATTGATTTGGCGATATACTTTAATATTTGTTTTCTTTCTAATTAACTTTTAAAAAATAAATATAAAGCTTTTTATAATAACTATCGTGAGACATACTAGATTAAGTAAAAATCGCGGGTTACTCACGTCTATATTGAGAAAAGCTCTATTAGTTTCGAACTACAGAGGGGTTCTTCCTCATGAACAGCGTGCGCGGACGCGGCGAGGTCGCGTTGTCGCGAAGACGTTAAAATATGATGACGTCATTTTTATTTATTATTTATGCACATCACTTAAGTAAATAGAAAACAAAAACAGAAATTGAGGTATATAGGTACTGCATATTCCTATATGGAAACCTCTTACTGCAGTCATTCGAAAGGAAAAAATTAAATCTAAGAGACATAAGACACTGTTAGTTGTGACATATATTATGTTATGTTAGGCTCTCATACAAAATTCATAGAAAAACAACATTTTTGACATTTCAATAAAAGTAATGAATTTGACTAGTTTGTAAACATCGAATTAATGAGTCTTATGTTTGGTGACTGAGGATTATAAGTCTGGAACAACACTTGTCATATGACTGTAGCTTATAGTCAATAGGGAAAAACACATAGCCTAATTTCCCTTGGCAGTGTAGTAGTTTTTTTTATGTAATAGGTCGGCAAACGAGCAGACGGATTACCTGATGGTAAGCAATCAGCGCCGCCCATGGGCACCCGCAGCGGAGGAGTTACGGGTGCGTTGCCGACCTTTAAGGGATTAGGAATTTGGAGATTTAGGCATTGATGAGGGATTGGGGGAGGGGAAGGATTGGGCCTCCGGTAACCTCACTCACACGGCGAAACACAACGCAGTGGTTATTTCACGTCGGTTTTCTGTGAGGCCGTGGTATCACTCCGGTCGAGCCAACCCATTCGTGCCGAAGCATGGCTCTCCCACACTTAGTAGTGTAGTAAAGCGGTTTAAAAAAGCTATAAAACCTTTTGCACAAACAGATATTTAGCTACTTGGCTGAATGGCGCTTCGATAAACATTCGAGCAATTAACACGGTACATCGACCCCGGCATATTAACTTGCCATGTCGCATGATCGATGACCACCTATTTGCTTTAGGAATACGACCTGCCTTTTTTCGGCACATGGATTGGTGATCCATTTGCTCGTTTTTGCTAGTGATCCATCTTATCCATGGCTGGCATACCATCTGATCCAACAGGATATCATGCCTAATGGTATGGAGTAACATATCCAAGTACCACTTTACTCAAATTTATTGAAAACTAGCGACCGGCTTCGTACGGTGCTGATATAAAATTTCTCCACCATTTCATGCATGTTATTATACATACAAATATTCCTCTTCTATCACTCTATTTATTAAAAAACCCGCATCAAAATCTGTTGCGTAGTCTTAAAGATTTAAGCATATAAAAAGCGACTTTGTTTTTGTTTTGTTTGACAAAAATAAGATTCCCGTTGTGTCTTGAAACTAGTGTCTCATTAAGTTTTTTTTTATTGACGTGTGTAGTGTGTATATCATTATTTTTCAATTTTTTTTTATATTTAGATACTAAACGTCGATAGTTACAGTATTCGTATCATAAGGTATGCCATCAGAGCCGATGAATACCCGGAATACTATGACCACAATGTGTTGTTTAAAATTAAAATTAAATTAAGATTAAAAGATTTTTAAAGTTTTGTTGATAAGACAAAGTGGATGTCCATAGGGAAGAGATATGAGCAATATTTTTTTTATTTTTGCGACGTGGGTTGACGATTTCAAACTTATAATTGCAACGGTTGGCTGGGTGAGATGTTTAAAAATTAATATCTTATCTTACTAATTTATAAATCAAAAATGTTTGTTACTGAATCACGCCAAAACGTCTGGTCGGATCTGGATTGAATTCGGCTCAGGCATAAGATACACTACGGAATAGGACATAGGCTACTTTGTATCAACATACCACGCGGGCGAAGCCGCAGGCGAAAGCTAGTTTACAATACGAAAAAATCGATCCAAAATCACCTACGCTACCGCTTTTTCTTTTAGGGAATCAAAGTTACGATGTAACTGAAACCTTTTACATTCCATACGATTCAGTATTCATATACAAAAGCGAAATTGTGATAAGATAATAAAATTACCATTCCATATTACCTTCTTCATCTTTTATTCATATACAACCTATATTTTTTTACGTACCTATAGATCAGAAGAACCCAATTCTTTGATGGAAAACGTAATTCCATTATGGACGATTGTCGCAATAAAATACACCTACTAACATATCATCATATTATTTTCATTTTATTCGTAATCCACTGAGATCTTTTTTCTCTAGTTTTTTTCTTTTTCAATCAAGTTTTATTTTTGTGTGATTGAGTGTTGGAGAGCCGCCTTTCGGCACGAGTAGGTAGGTCGCCTCGAACAGAGTGATAGCATGGCCTTACATAAAACCGGCGTGATACAAAACGCTGGTTTTCTGCGAAGCATATTTTTCCCACACTAAAACCACTTAACTTTTTAAATAAAATTTTGTTTTTATGTGCGTAGACTTAATTTTCATAAACATATTGTTACGAGCCTGACGTCACGTTCCTGACTATGCGGGCTTGGGTTACGGGATTGGGTGAAATGAAACACTAATACCGGTTTTCAGACTTTCTATTGCACCTAAGTTACAGCGTCCACGGAGTTAAGTTATCGGCGTTCCTCTCCAGCAGAGTCCGGCCGACTGACACAACTTTGCTGTTCACGCTGACTTAACTCACTTAACTGACTGCACTTCACTATTTCACTGCACTTCACTATTTCACTCACTTTTCTTCTTTTCCACTTCTTCCTTTTCTTCCGAATCGCTTTAGACTTAGAACTCAACTGCCAGCGGTGAGCCGCAGTTCCGCTTATATACCCCACGTCAGGTTCTGGAACATTCAATTTCGTTATTCTTTTTGATCGTCATGCCTCCAGAACCTTCCAATAATTTCGTTATTCATTTTTATTTATTCTCCTTCTCGCTCTTTAATTTTTCATTTTTTTCACACAAATAATTCCAGAAAGTTCGACAAAACTTCCATCAACTAAAAAACTTCATGTTTACGGCGGGACTCGAACTCGGGGTCTCTGTGGTGTAATCCACACGTCTTACCGATTACACCAACTCGTGTTGACAATTCACGACGAAATTTACAATCTCTAGGCAACGTTTGACAACCATCCATTGACGTCATGATGTCAAAGAGTTTGAACCACTTTTCCGTCACAATATTATTACTGTGTTTGTCTCCACTGCCATTATTTATTTTAATTCCCTAAAATCACTCACTCGATATATTTATTATTATACTTTTTACCTTAATTAATAAGGTAAGATATAAAAAGTATAATCTATTATTGTGATTTATTAGAGAGCATCCAACTCTCGACAAACCTTTGTCAATTAAATTTATAAAAAAAAAAAACAAATTTGAAATTCGAAAACTAGTTTTTTAAATGATAGTGTAGACATGGCACCATCCTTTTTCTTGTGGTCAATGACTCTAGACCCGCGAGGTCCACGATGAAGGCAATGAACTGAAACATCCCGCCTAGTGTTATATACAAACAAAATAATTCAAACAAGCTTTACGTACAGTTAGCAACATCGTCTAACAATCTTTCAACAAGAAACTTTTGTGTGTGTGGAGCCAAACATTGGCACGAGTGGGTCGGCTCGACCAGAGTGATACCACGGCCTCACAGAAAACCGGCTTGAAATAACTTCAGTGTTGTGTTTCGCCCTCAGACATAACTGAAATACAATAAAATAAAATATTTGAGAATATTTATTTATTGCTATTCCAAGCAACCATGGTGATTATGTATTATGTTCAAACCTTCTCCGTGAAAGACGAGACCTTTTCTCAATAAGTGGGCACTTTTAGGCTGACGATAAAAATTGTGATGTTGTGTAAACTTAGAACTTATCTTGTGAGATTCACCAAGATCAAGAAAGTTTAACTACTAACAAAATGATTATATTAAAACTACAAGTTAATTAATATTCGTCTCTCCATCACCTAAAGGTCGACAGTTAGACAATGCCTAAGGCATTAAGTCCGCCTGTACATGTCATTGTATAAAGTGTATAAATAAATAAATAAATATTTTGAATTCGTAAAGCTATTTTTTTAAATGTACTTACACAAGCTGTTGGTATAATAAATTAATTGGTGTAATTATAATGTGTTGTAAAAAATGCTATAATTTACCGACTAACCGTACAACAGGTTTGGTCCAGAAAAAACCAGTTGAAATTTAATAGTATCGAAGTACCAAGATAGTAATGAGATATTTTTTGCTTAGTTTTTTGCACAACGAAATGGTCTACCTTCGAGTGTAATATTTTGTCAGGCAAATAAAATAAATTCCATAAGGTTTAATTACCTCGTGTAATCATAAAAAAATCATCATAGTAAAATTAAAAGTTTTTGAAGCATTTGAATAAAATAAATAAGTCTTTAGTCTGAGTCCAGATGATCTTGTTTTTATGGAACAAAACAGTCAAAGGCAAAATGGCTTAATCTGATGTTAAATACAGCACTATTTATTATTAGAAAAATCCTAATCCTAATAAATCGGGAACATAAAATCTTCTTAAATTACAAAAACAAGAACATTGACCAATATCCAACTCTCTCAATTTCCATTCTTAAAATCCATTCCAATTTGTTTCAGACGATGGATTCTCGCTTTTCGCATTTCACGGAAACCTCAACCAAGAAATGGAAGGATTAGAAGCTGGGCAATGGGCTCGTGACATCACTAAACCCAAGAATGGAACCTGGTATTTTAGAGATAGAAATGCTGAACTGAAACTTGGAGACAAGATATATTTCTGGACTTATGTCATCAAGAATGGGTTGGGTTATCGGCAGGATGATGGAGAATGGACTGTTACTGGTGAGAATTTTATTGTTATAATAGCCATTGGAAGAATCATTGCTAAAATATGACATTTTTATTAGAAACACAAAATATGTCTTTATACTTTGAGGGTCCTTAATGAAAATATTCTGGAAAAGATTTGACCATAAAAGTCTTGGTATATTTTTTGCATCTCGGCTCAACTCACAATTTCACCATCGCTTATGTTTTCCAGGATTTGTAAACGAAGATGGAACTCCAGTAGATCCATCGGTTGCTCCGACGTTACCAACAGAAGCGCCTCCTAACCAGCCAACTGCAGCTCCACCCCCTAAGCGTCCTACCGCCGCCCCCCCAGTACAATGCCAGCCTTCTGCCACAACGGTAGCCGGCCGTGGAGCCATCTGCCAGGGTGCTCTCATTTTTGATGAAGAGTTCAGCAACTCTGCGCTAAAAGACCTCAACAGCTGGAGTGCTGAGATCAGGTTTCCTGAAGAACCGGTACGTAAAAGATTTTTTTTTGGAATAAGTCTGCAAACCAACAGATTGATTACCTGATGGTAAGCAATCGGCGCCGCCCATAGACACACGAGATACTTAAATAGTTACTACAAGTGCGTTGCTGGCCTCTTGTGGATTTGAGGATTGAGAATGCAGGATGAGGATTGGGTCTCAGGTAACTTCATAAACAATGAATGATGGATTACGTCATTGAGTATACTGCCAGGATTGCTTGTAAAGTCTCTTGTCCAATTAACAATTTATGAATGAGCAACTTTTGGACATTTCCTGACAGCTACAATGTTTGGACAATATGACCTCAACATGGTATATGAGCGCTATCTGGTGAAAGAAACTGATATTTAATGTAACCTTCTTTCATTCTAGGACTACCCTTTCAACGTATACATACCAGACAACACAATCAGTTTCGAGGATGGTTCCCTAGTCATCACACCAGTCCTGACAGAATCTATGCATCATGAGGGATTTCTCGTCGAGTCTTTAGACCTTTCTAACAGGTTCGTAGTCTTTAGTATAGTAGAATTTGGTTTTAATCTTATAATTATGATACAATATTTAACTAGTCTTATATAGTCATATGGCTGAAAGTCACATCCCCGAAGAGGTAGGCTGTGAAAAGTCTCCAGTTTTTTTAACCAATGAAATAAGGGGATGATCTTAGTACTATTTGCCTAAGTCAGGGAAGTTTGGGTAAATAGCAATAGGACATTTAGAAGCAAGTACCCAAATCCCCAATCTTTTAATCCATAATTTGTCGGCAATGCACTCGTAATTTATGAGGGGTTACTGGTGTCCATGGACGACGTCGATTGCTTACCATATAGTGATCCAGCTACTCGTTTGCCACTCAAAAACTAATGCACTGGCAATTCTAGAGATGCCATAGGTATCATAAAGTTCAAAATTAGATGAACGCATTAACAATAATTTTACTCAGATCTACTTTTGAAACAAGTACAAAATGGTTGTCAATAAACTTGACAGCAATGGCGGAGTCGTTAATCTAAAAGTTTAATTAATTAATGTTAATAAATTAAACGGTACAAAGCCACGGTTTAGTAAATTTCCTGTCCCCGTGGCCCGTTATACATCCACCGGATGAGAAGTCTTAGACATCAAACAACTTTTGAATCAATTACAATTATTGTCGGGTCCAACTTCCTTCGCTTACATTATTAAACACCAAATTAATAATTTAACCTTTATTATTCCGCTGTGTAAAATTATTTTTAAATTCGATTTCATTTTTTTAAACCACCCACGCTTTGTAATAAAGCAACGTATATTTGTTTTTTATTTATTTTACCAAACATTCAACATAGGGCGGGTGGACTGCCTTGAGCATTCTGTTCCAGTCGAGCAGTTCCAAGAAGCAAGCCAGTTAGAAGTATACCATATATTATCAGTCTCCAATATTCTAAAGGTTAATTCACTTCGAGAAGCGATGCGATGATAGTATGATACTGCAGTAGAGAAGCTCATGAAGGGACTTCGGTAGTTACTCGAGGGCGTCAGATTAATGGTTGGATTATGGACGCGTCAAATATGGGGAATATTTAGTATCCATTATTGAAAAGACCGACTTACCACTTGAATAACTGAGAAAAGCTCTACTAGTTTAAATTCAAAATGGTACTCATATCCTATTACGACTAGACTATTCATAAGAAGCGTGGAAGTTGCGGTGCAATCGGTGCCGTTGATGATCAATCGTAAAACTAGTAGCTAATTTAACAGTTTGGAGATTCGGAAAGTTGGGGATGAATGGGCCTCATCATCTTAATTTTATTTTACTTTTCCAGGTGTACTGGTCAGTTGGGCACAACAGAATGCAGACGGGAGGCGTCCGGTGCCCAAATTCTACCACCAGTAACTACTGGCAAGATCACCACACGCCACAGGTTCGGCTTTAAGTTTGGGAGGATCGAAGTCAGAGCCAAACTGCCAGCGGGCAGCTGGCTAATACCTGGTTAGTTATAGTTTTTTATGACAGCAGTCGACTATTCTGAAGAGGACTTGAGGGTCTCATAAACCGAAAGTTTTATGAAAGGTAGTTATGGCCAGCCCTCTAACTTTGAAAAAGTCTTTAATCCAAAAGTGGAGTAACGAGCTGGTTTCATGAAATTATTTTCTGGAGGTGATGGTGAACCTATTTTTTTTCCTTTATTACGTAAATGTAATGATATTAACTGCTTTAAAGTATAGGGCTGGTATTCAAAATGCAAAAATTAAATAACTATTGCGTTATTTAAAACTATGGACTTACCATGTGAATAACTAAGAAATGCTCGACTGGTTTCAAGTCACAACGGGACTCTTATTTATGAGCTTCGTGATCGTCGTGGTGACGTCACCGCTCGTAGACATACTGTTTCTTCTTATTATTCTTATTTCTTCATTTCTTTTGTCTTATTGAGTCTTTTTTTATTTCTAGAAATTAACTTGGAGCCTACAGAAAATGTGTACGGATCCCTCCGCTATGAGTCAGGGCTGATGCGTATAGCCTTCGCTAGAGGGAACCCAAGTCTTGCTAAAAAGCTGTACGGCGGACCCATCCTGTCTGACTCTGATCCCTTCAGGTCCTTACTGATGAAGGAAAAAATTGGAATTGACAACTGGAACAAGGATTACCATAATTACACTATGATTTGGAGGCCAAGTAAGTTGAAGTCAAGAAATAATTTCTAAAATATCGAATCTTGTTTTGGATTTTACGCTATCATCATCACCAAGTGTGAGAGAGCCAAGCTTTGGCAGGAATGGGTCGGCTCGACCGGAGCAATACCCTGGCCTCACAGAAAACCGGTGTGAAACAACCACAGCGTTGTGTTTCGCCGGCCCCATTACTTCCCAATCCTTAAATATCTGTAACCCTTATCCCTAAAAGGCCTGCCACGCACTCGTTACTCCTTTGCTGTTGCGGGTGTCCATGGGCGGCGCTGACTGCTTACCATGAGGTAATCAGTCTGCTCGTTTCCGACTAAACCATAAGAAAACCAAGCCGCTGGCAGAAAACCAATACTGTATATTTTTTTTAATAGGCAATTACTAAGTTTTATATTTTATTTTCAGATGGTCTTCAGCTTTTCGTGGACGGTGAGCAGTATGGAAACATCGATCCTGGCGATGGTTTCTTTTCCACCGCTCGGCAGCATGCAGTTCCTCATGCCTCTAATTGGCTGAGAGGAACTGTCATGGCCCCTCTTGACGAAACGGTAATATTGATTAATTATAATAAACAAAAAAGGTTTTATGAAATTCTATTGCCTCACACCATAATCCAAACCACGTAAAAAAGAAAGGAACTATACTATACCAACAATAAAAAAAAATCTTTCTTAAAATCCTATCTAGATCTATAAGACTATCTTAATCTGAGGTCCAAGAAAAGATCCCATGGGTCCTCTTCTGACCAAAGATTAAAAATAAAAAACATTTTATTTTTGGCAACACCCTCGAGAGGACTGCGACAGTTATTTTTGATTTCTCAAAGGTCCTCCGTGAACGAAATTGAGAAAGGACGCGTTGGAGGACAATTGAAAAATTTAACACATGACATCTTTTGTAAGATAAAAATAATAACAGTTTTCTGGACGAATGAGTCGGCTTAAATGGAATGATAAGATAAAGCCACGGCATTACAGAAAAGTAACGCAAAACAACTTACATTGTGTTTTGCCATGTAAATTAGGGTTACCAAAGTTATCAATCGCCTCAAAAAACCGTTACGTTCACATAGTTTCAAGGTTGTCATAGTTCAACTCTTTGTGTGATTTACAAATTTTTGGGTGTCATGTGTATGTGAAATTGTATGTTTGTAACCGCACCCACGACACACGAGTAAATCCTAATGTGGGGCAAAGTATTTTAAAAAAAAGATTGGAGTTGATTGCTTAACATTAAGTGGGTGGTTTAGTCGTTTGCCCCCCATCCCATAGAAACGCTGTCTTCTTTTGTTTTCATATCGAAGCATTGATACTACTATAAAAATTGATTGTAATTATGGTGGTTACGATGATGATGAGAAATCTAAACATTGCATCATTTTCCAGTTCTACATATCTCTGGGTCTTCGCGTGGGAGGTGTCCATGATTTCGCTGATGACATTCCTGAAAAGCCCTGGAGGAACCGAGGCAGTAAGGCGATGTTGGACTTCTGGAAAAACAAGGCAACCTGGCACCCTTCTTGGTATAATACCAACTTGAAAGTGGACTATGTAAAAGTTTTCGCCTTATAGACATTGTATTTAAAATTTTGATCTGTGATGTTTTTGAGATTAAAATGTAATCAATTTACTTATATGAATAAGAATGAATAATTAAATGATAATTTTGACGTACATTTTATTTTTGTATTTTTTTATTCTTAAACCTTGATGTTTGTTTATTTATACTCATGAATGCCGTGAAATTGCACATTCGAGGCCATTGCAGTATTTTGTGCAGGCGAAGATGTGATCAGACGCTAATGGCCCAAATTTTAAGTAGGTACAGAAATTGCATTGCTTACCATCAAGTAATCCAAATGCTCGTTTGCCACCATATTTTGAGAAAAAGAGGATAAAGGTATGGGAGAGCCATGCTTCGGCACGAATGTGTCGGCTCGCCCGGAGTGATACCACGGCCTCGCAGAAAACCGGCGTGAAATAACCAAAGAGTTGTGTTTCGCCGTGTGAGTGAGGTTACCGGAGGCCCAATCCGTTCGCTTTCCCAAAATCAACAAATCCCTAAAGGTCGACAACGCACTCGTAACTCCTCAGTCGTTGCGGGTGTCCATGGGCGACGCTGATTGCTTACCATCAGGTAATCCGTTTGCTCGTCTGCCGACCTATCACAAATTAATAAAAAGTAAAATAAAAAAACAGTTTGCGAAGATCAGAAAAGGAGGACCCTCTGAAAATGCGAGGTTATCAATCTGGCGGGCTACTTTTCTACCAATGTTTAATCCCACGCAAACTTAACTTGCGTTAAGTACGATTTGTGACAACATCCATTGATTATTGTCATCGACCAATTTGTTATTAATTCCATAATTGATGAAATACTGAAAAAAAAAGAACTACACTTTTCTCTAGACATTCAATCCAGAAACACAACTTATCATCCAGCTTTGATTATTAGGGGTAATTATACAAATGTTTTAAAAAATATACTACAAAAAGTGTTGCATTGTTTTGAAATTGAAATTTCTATGAAGGCGAAATATCTTCACGGAATAATCATAAGGGAGAATGCGAGTTTGCAGGAATTATGAGTTTTTTGTCTCAAATATCAGCAACCGATTTAGTTGGATTCTCATTTTACTTTTCTATAACAAATATAGAACAAGAAAAAATATCTTATTTAAGCATTTTTTTATAGGTCAATAGATCGGTGCAGTATTTCAGTCCAGGGTATCGCGTGTTACTTTATAATGCGCAGGTTCAGTCCCATATGGAATACTGTCTCCATCACCAAATATACTGCATTTCTGACTGCACGGTTGGTGCGGTGGCTGGGCAACTGGCTGCCGTGCAACGTGTCGCAGGTTCGATTCCCGCACGGATCGCTCTTTGTGATGATCTGATCCACAAATTGTTGTTCCGGGTCTGGGTGTCATGTGTATGTGAAATTGTATGTTTGTAAACGCACCCACGTCACAGGAGAAAATCCTTATGTGGGGCAACGTTTTTTAAAAGAAAAAAAAACTGCGTACATTAATTAAAATCCAGGCGCAAAGTTCTCACCCCTCTTAAAATTAAAATGAATTAAGTCTCGACCGTCTTTCGTCTCTATCGTCCTATCCATCGAAAAAAAATCTATTTTTCTGGTCTTCCATCATCAGTCTCTGCTTTCCTTATCATGGGACCACCTTGGAAATATCTACTTTCAATAAAAACCAAGTATCTGAATCAGTTCATAAACGACGAAGTTATCTGGGATAATATACACGGACGAATTGAGAAACTGCTCCAAGTCTTCGATGAGACGAGACCCCGGAATACATGTTAAGTTATTAAATCAATGTAGTACTTAGTTTGTAAAAAATATGGAACTTACAATGACATACTTAGTTTTGATTACAAATTGTGGGACCAGACTATTTTAAAAGCCGTTTAACTGACACGGAGCCTACACTATTATGAGTTCAGAAAATTTATATGCAAAACCAAATGAACTGGTTTAGTCCAAAAACAAGCTAATAACAACACAAAAAATAAATAAAGAATAAAACTAAAAATAAGTATGTTTGCCATAATGCATTTTCCTTGTATTACCTGTTCCTGGTAAAACCTGACCTTCCGAAACCGGCCCAAAAGATGAAACTTCTATTTTAAATCATTTGATTTTAGTCAGTCTGATACCTACTTTCCGCTGATATCTTGTGCAGCATGAAACTAAAAAGCATTTTAATTGAAATATTAGTGTTTGTCGCACTATGCCGAGCTCAGAATGGAGGCGAGAACTTTGAAGTTCCGACTCCTACAGTAGAAGCATTACAGCCAAAAGGGTTTAGAATAATTCTAAAAGGTATGTGATTATTATTCTTATAAATGTAGTAGAAGTAGCTAGACCAGAATATTAAGCGTGAAACGATGCCCAATCCTCAAAACCCTAACGTAAGGTCGGCAAGTGTCGGAGAGCCATACTTCGGCACATATGTGTCGACTCGACCAGAGTGATACCAGGCCTCACAGAAAACCAGCGTGAAACAACACTTACGTTGTATTTCGACGAGTGAGTGAGGTTACTGGAGCCCCAATTTTTCCCTCTCCCCACATCCTCAGTCCTCAATCTTTAAATCCCGAGTAACCCACAACAGGCCTGCAACAGACTTGTAGCGGCTCGTTTGGTACTATGAGTGTCCATGGGTGGCGCTGATTGCTTACCATTAGGTAATCCGTCTGCTTGTTTACTAAAGTATGACATTAAAAAGAAAAAAACACACCAACAACTGGTGCAGTGTTGCTAGTGTCCATGGACAGCTCAGATTACTTTGCCCCTTTATTTGGTATCGGGTTGGAAAATTCTCGTGGAAACCCACCGCCCTCGGGGAAGGGCGTAGGGTACTGAAAAACAACCCAGTGTTTTTCATTTACCCCGTGTGTCGACAGGGTGGGTAACCCACCTTTACCTTCAGTCTACTCTAGTTCTACCTTTACTTTACTTTACCTTTGCTTTACCTTCAGGTGTCTAGATTCCTCCTGTTGCACAAGTGGAATCGTAATTTACAAAATTTAAAATTATCTTTTACCAAAATTGTTTTTAGATGACGGTTATTCTTTCGTTGGCTTCCGAATTAATATCAACGTTGATTTCGAAGATGGTCTTAATGATGGACAAATAAACAAAGATAATACCCAGCCACGAAATGGCTACTGGGTCTACATGAATCGTAAAGAGAAGCTGAATGTCGGAGACACAATATATTACTGGTTATACGTCATCAAGAACGGAATGGGACATTTTGTCAATGATCTTGCGTATGAAGTGACTCGTAAGTATTTATTACAATTTATAAGGAATAATCAATTAAAACCGTAACAAACCATTTTAAAATTAAATGTAGTCTATAAAAAATATATTAATAACTATCAATAAAAATAAAATAAACTAAAAATCATCATATATTGTATATATGTATTTAAAAGTAAACAATAAGGTGGCATAGCTATATTAAACATTTAAATCAATTCAGATAAAGATAAAGATAAAGATAAAGATAGATTTATTTGCAAAAACATGTGTAGGTGATAATAATACATGGCTGTGATCATTACAGGTGGAATGGATATTTAGTTTCAACATGTTTGACCATGACTGGCGTGCAAAAAAAATATAAAGTAAAAAATAAACTGGCGTACTTAGAAGCTAACATACATAAAATATATCTTATTACAAATATGATTTTTTTTTTATTACATTAATTAATCGCATTATATAATAATTAATTTACAATAACAAACATGATTACGATTTTATTAAAATATGTCAGCACTAGTTACATACATAAAATTATGAATTATTTTGTCCTGTCAAAGAGATTTATCATTGAGAAAGTCATCAATATTGTAATAACATTTTTCAGTTAATATTTTTTTTAGTGCTTTTTTAAATTGGTTTATGTTTAACTTCTTCACATGCTTTGGAATTTTATTATAAATAATTGGAGCCTTACATAAAACACTTTTTCTCATTAGCGCTGTTTTAGCAGGAGGAACACAAAGCCTGCTATTATCACGTCGATTACGTTCTATGATATCAGATTTGCGAGGAAAAAGATAAGGGTTTTTATGGACAAATAAAGCTATTTCAAAGATATAGAGGGACGGTAATGTAAGGAGCTTGTGTTTAATAAAAAGTGGTTTACAGCTGTCAGTACTATGGATAGCGAACATAGCACGTATGCATCTCTTTTGCATTTTAAAAACCATATCCTTATTCGTTGAATTACCCCAAAAAATAATACCGTATCTAAGGATAGCCTCAACAAGGCCGTAATATGCCGACAATAACGCGTTAAGATTAATAGTGTGGGCAAGTTTATGTAATGCATAAGATATACTACTCACTTTTTTACATAATATGTCAATATGTTCTTTCCAATTAAGTCGACTATCTATGGTTAAGCCGAGAAAACGGGTAGCAGTAGTTTCCTTTACAGTGTAAGAATCATGGATTAGTTTTATGTTTAGTGGATTTTGCATTCTTTGTGCAAAATGCATTATATTTGTTTTCGTCAAATTGATTTTCAAGTTATTATTTTTTAACCAAGAAATTAAAGATGTCATAGAGTTATTTATGTCAAGATTATACTGATAAATGTCCTTACATGGAATTGTAACAGTGCTATCATCAGCAAACAATGTCATGGGTTGATTCGTTACCTTTGGCAAGTCGTTAATGTATATAATGAACAGAAGTGGCCCCAGGACACTACCTTGGGGAACACCATATTTTACAACACGTTTCGTTGAGCTGTATATCTCTTCTTTTTTAGTTTTTGGGTTTACTTTAGTAATTACTGTTACTTGTTGTCGATCTATTAAGTATGATTTAATTAAATCTAAAACATTACCTCTAATACCATAGGCATCAAGTTTACTGATTAATATATTAGGGTCTACATAATCGAATGCCTGTGACATATCGCAATATACAGCACAAACGGGCGTTTTTTTATCAACGTGGTATATTACATTTTGAATGAATTCATAAATTGCTATATTGATTGTTTTATTTTGTCGAAAGCCTTTTTGTTCAGTGCACAAAATATGATTTTTTTCAAGATACGAGTTAATTTCACCATAGAGGTATTTTTCGAAAATTTTAGAGAATATTGATATCAACGAAATTGGCCTGTAATTTTCCACACACTGTTTATTATCTTTTTTAAATAATGGTTTTACAATAGACAATTTGAGATCATTCGGAAATATACCTGTTGATATAGATAAATTAATTATGTGGCTCAAATGGTGGCAGATATTCTCATTTACGGTTTTTATAATTTTTGTGGAGAATTCATCGTAGCCTACACTGTTTGTGTTTTTCAGGGTTTTTATTATTTGTTTTACCTGGTTGGGTGAACATGGTGCAAGAAACATTGATTTTACACGGTGATTAATTAATGAAGTTATATTATTCCCGGCATCCGGAATGGGGACAACTTTATTAACAAAATAATTATTAAATAAATTTGCAATTTGTGTAGGATTATCAATTATTCGTCAACTTTTATGCTATCAATAGAATTTTTTGGAAGGTTGAGTTTAGTTTGATTTATTATTCGCCATGCCGTTTTACTTTTATTACTTGATGTTTTTATTTTATAATTATTTTGTGCACGTTTTGTCAGCGATATGATTCTTTTAAATAATTTGCAATAGTTTACGTACTTCGATTTAGTCTCTTTTGAAGGTTTTAGTCTTAAATTCCATAGCATGTCCCTTTTCTTACGGCTGCAAACTTTAATTCCGCGTGACACCCATTTTGGTGTCTGACAAACTTTTATTAAAAATTTAGACAACATACATTATTATCAGAAAATAAAAACAGATAGAAATCTGTTAGCCTATTATAATATATGATATTAAATATATCATCATCATTCCACTGCTGAACAAACGGAGAAGCGATTAGTATTAATCACCACGCTTACTCAAAGTCAATTGGCGATTAAAAACCTATGTGTCCTCACGACATTTATCTTCACCGCATGTCATTAGTAGACACCAATGAATAAGCTATAAAAGTACATATATTTAAACTTGGAAAAAGTCATATCGATACTCACCAGGTTTTCATACTTACATGAGACGCAAACTCCAAGAAGACAACACGTCGTGTAAGCAGACAGAATATGTACAAAGATGTGATAAAGTATCTGCTTCATATTTTCCAGACTTTGCAAATGAGAATCAAACGCCACCAGCTCTGAATTCCAGGAATCCATCTAGCTTGGATCCAGTAGACCCATCCTGCACAGTTTCTAAAACCTTAGTGCAAGGCAAGTCTCGAATTTGCAAAGACGCTCTCATTTTCAGCGAAGATTTCGATAGTGCCAATCTGGAAGAATTAAAACAGTGGGCGCCTTCAATATTGTTTCCAGGAGAACCGGTCAGTTTTATTTATATTTTTATATTCATCATGAAGAGAAAATAATAATTAATATGTCCAAGTATCTTAATATATTGTTACGTGCCTGACGTCTCGTTCCTGACTATGCGGGCTTGGGTTACGGGATTGGATGAAATGAAACACTAATACCGGTTTTCAGACTTTCTATTGCACTTAAGTTACAGCGTCCACGGAGTTAAGTTATCGGCGTTCCTCTCCAGCAGAGTCCGGCCGACTGACACAACTTTGCCGTTCACGCTGACTTAACTCACTTAACTGACTGCACTTCACTATTTCACTGCACTTCACTATTTCACTCACTTTTCTTCTTTCTCACTTCTTCCTTTTCTTCCGAATCGCTTTAGACTTAGAACTCAACTGCCAGCGGTGAGCCGCAGTTCCGCTTATATACCCCTGGTCAGGTTCTAGAACATTCAATTTCGTTATTCTTTTTGATCGTCATGCCTCCAGAACCTTCCAATAATTTCGTTATTCATTTTTATTTATTCTCCTTCTCGCTCCTTAATTTTTCATTACTTTCACTCAAATATTCCAGAAAGTTCGACAAAACTTCCATCAACTAAAAAACTTCATGTTTACGGCGGGTCTCGAACTCGGGGTCTCTGTGGTGTAATCCACACGCCTTACCGATTACACCAACTCGTGTTGACAATTCACGACGAAATTTACAATCTCTAGGCAACGTTTGACAACCATCCATTGACGTCATGATGTCAAAGAGTTTTCTGTCACACTGCCCCCCTCTTAGATTCGCTCGTCCCGAGCATCGTTGCTGCCGTAATACCTCGCCAACCTGTCTATATGGACAACTTTCAAAGGGCTCCTTGAAGACTTCCGAATTCTGTAAGTAATGTCATTGATCTTCGTGACTATCTCGTAAGGACCTTCCCAACTCGGTTGCAGCTTTGGAGATTTTCCCTTCCTTCTGACTGGATTATGAAGCCAGACCAATGACCCCTCTTCAAACCCAACAGAATTGGCTCGTCGATCATAGCGCGTCTTTGCGCGATCACTAGCTTGAAGACCGGCCTCCCTGATCTGCTCATAAATGTCCAACATTTTTGCCCTTAACTCGCTTATGTAATCGCTAAACTCGGTGCGAGAGTCACCAGGTGGACAGCCCGATACAAGATCTGCCGGTAATCTCAATTCCCTTCCAAAATTTGCAAATGCAGGCGTCTTTGCGGTACTTTCATGTACAGCAGTCCGATAGGCAAGCAAGAAGAGAGGTATGTAAGTGTCCCAATCTCTCTGATGGCTGTCAACCACCTTTGCTAAGTGTCGCTCCAATGTTTGGTTGAAGCGTTCGACCATTCCATCTGACTGTGGATGATAAGGGGTCGTTCGAGTCTTATGGATTCCCAAAAGTTTACAAGTTTCCTGGAAAACTTGGGATTCAAAGTTCCGTCCTTGATCACTGTGCATCTCCAAGGGCACTCCGAATCGGGTGAATACCTCGTTTACCAACTTCGTGGCTACAGTTACTGCCTCTTGATTCGGTATGGCAAAGACCTCCGGCCATTTTGTAAAATAATCCATAACCACTAAAACGTAGCGATTGCCCGAATCAGTGATTGGAAATGGTCCAGCGATGTCTAAGGCTATTCTCTCCCAAGGCATACCAACATTGTAGATTTTCATCGCCCCTCTGCTTCTTGTTTGTGGACCCTTGACAGCTGCACAACTAGTGCATTTCCGGCACCAATCTTCGACGTCATATTTGCAATGCAACCAATAAAACCTCTCCTTGATCTTCACCAAAGTCCTCCTAATTCCCAAATGTCCTCCAGAAGATCCATCATGGAACGCTTTTAATACATCCCTTATTTTTGAACGAGGCACCACCAATTGCAAATGCTCGTCCTTGCCGTTTGTTGATTCCCATTTCCTGCACAGAAGTCCGTTATGCAGCGTAAGGCTTTTCCACTGTGCCCATAAACCTTTCGTTACCGCGCTATATTGGGCGACGTCACTCCAACTTGGCTTGTTACCACTTCGTAGCCACTCCAGTATTGGTTTGATATCTGCATCTCTTTCCTGTTCTAATTTCATTGCATCGTCTCCCCATGCCTCGTCAACAGTATCAGTCCTTATCACCTTAAGAAAAGCAGTTTCCTTCTTGGCACAATGCTTGCAATCTTCCACGCATGGGCGTCTCGATAATGCATCTGCGTTGCCATGAATTCTTCCGCCGCGATGTTCGATTTCAAAGTCAAATTCCTGAAGTTGTTCCAACCATCTGGCTACTTGGCCTTCGGGATCCTTAAACTGAAGTAGCCATTTCAAAGCAGCGTGATCAGTTCTGATCAAAAATTTCCGTCCCAGTAAATACTTCTTGAAATGGTGCAGAGTTTTGACTACGGCCAGCAATTCCCTCCTGGTCACGCAATAATTCTTTTCCGGCTTGGATAGTGACTTGCTGAAGTAAGCAATAACCTTCTCCTGCTCACCATCGCGTTGTGAAAGGACACCTCCTATTCCAATATTGCTGGCATCCGTATCAACTACGAATATTCCTTTCGCGCTGGGGTATCCGAGAATTGGTGTGTTACAAAGCCGTTCTTTTAGTTCTCGAAAGGCTTGCTCACAATCCTCGTCCCAGATAAAGGCACGTTTCTCCTCTGTCAATCGATGCAAAGGCTTGGCAATGTCCGAGAATACTTTCACAAACCGCCGATAATACGAGCACAATCCAAGAAATGCCCGAACTTGCGTTTTGTCTTTAGGTGTCGGCCATTCCTTAACAGCGGCAGTCTTGGCTGGATCAGTCTCAATTCCTCTCTCAGAAATAACATGTCCTAGATAATTCACTTCGCGCTTGAAGAAAGAGCATTTCTTTGGACTCAACTTTAAATTTGCTCCACGCAGCTTATCGAGTACCTTTTCCAATTTCCTTAGATGATCGTCAAAATCCCGTCCAACAATGATGATGTCATCGAGGTAAACTAGGCAAGTTTCGCCCAGCAGTCCCGCCAGCACCTGTTCCATCAAACGCTCAAAGGTTGCCGGTGCATTGCATAATCCAAATGGCATCACCTTAAATTGCCAGAGTCCTTTCCCAGTTGAGAATGCGGTCTTTTCCTTGTCCTTGGGATCCAAATCCACCTGCCAATAGCCGCTTTTCAGATCGAGCGTTGAAAACCATTTCATGCCACTCAGTGTGTCAAGTGTGTCATCGATTCTTGGTAACGGGTAGCTATCCTTCTTGGTTACATCATTCAATCGTCGATAGTCTACGCAAAACCTCGTTGAACCATCTTTCTTCTTGACAAGCACGACAGGTGAACACCAAGGGCTAGAAGAGGGCTCTATCACGTCATTTTTCCTCATATCGTCAATCATTTCTTCAACTTCCTTCTCACGAGCGAATGGTATACGTCTGGGCCTTTGACGAATTGGCATTGTATCACCTGTGTTTATTTTATGCTTCACCAAACCAGTTCGGCCAATATCACCATCGCTTCTTGAAAACACATCAGAGAATCGAAGAAGTAAATTTCTAGCTTTCATAGTCTCCACTTTTGTCAGACTTTTGTTTTCGTCTAAGATTTTCGTTACAAAGTCTATTCCCGTACTGTCCTTCTTCACAAGATTTTCCGAGCATTTTCTTATCCAGGCCACTTCTTCCAATACGCCCACAGGCTCTCCTTCTTCAATCGTAATTTCTGAATCACTGAAGTTGAATACCGGAATGCGGTTAACATCAGATGACCCCACGACAGTTCTTGCCGGTAGCCATGAATTCACGTGTTCCGATTTATCAATCACAGCGCACCTTCGAGGTAAACTTCCTTCCCTCCTCCTAGGTAATGCGATTGGTACGAGAGTCTGTGATTTTGGTGCAAGAACAGTTCTTCTTAAACAGCAAACTTTTCCCAGGGTTCCACCCTTCATCGGAATTTCCTCAGTTCCACATAGTAATACTCCAGATTTTAAGTCGATGTTACACTGGTGCCCTTGCAGGAAGTCAAGTCCCAGGATGCAGTCATCCAGAATTCTGGCCACAATAACCTCATGTCGATAAACACATTCCCCAATTTTGATTGTTACATGCAGTTTTCCACTTATCGGTATGCACTGGCCGGTAGCTGATTTCATTTGTAGGCCAACAATTGGTTTAAGGTGTTTCCTGATGTTTTGCTCGAGCAGCCGAACATTTATCACCGTCCTTGAAGCTCCAGTATCTAATGTTAGCTGACTGTTTTTCCCATTTACTTGACCGTCTATCACCAGGGTATTTCCATCGTTAGTTTGCTTGATGTAGATTGTTGGGGTTATTCCACTACCAGCCAGCGCCCACCCCGCAGCCTTGGCTGGATTTAAGTTTCCCTGCTGGTCAGAAGTTGAGACCGCCGCGTCCTTGCGGTTCATCTTCTTCGGGCAGTCGCTCCGTATGTGCCCACGCTCTCCACATCCATAGCACATGAAGTTCCGACGGCGTGGAGGTACCTGCTCCGTTGTCGTCATTTCCCGCAGACGTAAGGTACGGGAGTTGCCACGCACGGCTTCCACTTCCAATGCATGGGCCAGAGCTTCTTTCATGTTCTTGTTATGGCCCAGATGAACAGCAGCTCGTACTTCGGGGTCCCGAATACCGTCAATGAACGCTTGGAGAAGCGTGCCTTCAATCATTGACGGAGTCGACCGGAAAGCTCGACGCACAAGTTTCTCGATTTCCACGGACCATTGCTGTAGACTCTCATTATCACGCTGAGTACGCTCTTTTAATTGCGCTCTGTACACGTGCTCGAGGTGGCTGTCTCCAAAACGTGCCTCAAGTGCGTCGAGGAGGGCACTAAAGCTGAGATCTCCACTTGCGCCGATAGCTTCCAGCACTGAGAGCGCTTGATCACGGAGGGCCAGGGTGAGGGCTGACTGTGCTTCCTTCTGAGTCCAACCATAAGCCTCCATAAGTGTCTCAAACTGTAGCTTGAACGCGGTCCAGGATGTTGTTCCGTCGTAATGGGGAATCTTGAGCCCTTTCGTTGCGCTTAAGGCCGCATTTGGGGCGTCAAAAACGGCTGCAAGACGGCTTCGGCTCTTTAAAGGGCTTGGGTTTGTCACTTCCTGCTTGATTTTGGAGATCTCTTCTTCCAATCTCTCCTCTATCGCCATGACGCGATGTTCCAACTTGCCTAAACCTTCCTCCACTTCTTGTACCCGTTTGACAGCCTTTTGCAGTCCCTTCGTGAAATCTTTATGCATGTCTTCCAAGCGACGCACTTGCTCCTCTTGGCGACGAGCTTGATCTTCTTTCAGCTCCCGCAGCTGTCCTGACTGACAGCGTGCTTGCTCTTCTTGGCGGCGCGCTTGCTCTTCTTGGCGGCGCGCTTGCTCTTCTTGGCGGCGCGCTTGATCTTCTTTCAGCTCCCGCAGCTGTTCTGCCTGACAGCGTGCTTGCTCTTCTTGGCGGCGCGCTTGATCTTCTTTCAGCTCCCGCAGCTGTTCTGCCATCATTTGCTGCAGCTGTAGCAGAAGATCCACCTGCACAGGCTTGGCTTCTGCATCGCTGGTTTGAGCTGCAGCACCCTCTTCTCTCACACGCTGCGCTTCTGACATAGCACGGGTACTCACTCCTCTTACGTCCTGCGGCACTAGCGGCATTTTTCTCCAATCCCACTTCTGACACCAAATGTTACGTGCCTGACGTCACGTTCCTAACTATGCGGGCTTGGGTTACGGGATTGGATGAAATGAAACACTAATACCGGTTTTCAGACTTTCTATTGCACTTAAGTTACAGCGTCCACGGAGTTAAGTTATCGGCGTTCCTCTCCAGCAGAGTCCGGCCGACTGACACAACTTTGCCGTTCACGCTGACTTAACTCACTTAACTGACTGCACTTCACTATTTCACTGCACTTCACTATTTCACTCACTTTTCTTCTTTCTCACTTCTTCCTTTTCTTCCGAATCGCTTTAGACTTAGAACTCAACTGCCAGCGGTGAGCCGCAGTTCCGCTTATATACCCCTGGTCAGGTTCTAGAACATTCAATTTCGTTATTCTTTTTGATCGTCATGCCTCCAGAACCTTCCAATAATTTCGTTATTCATTTTTATTTATTCTCCTTCTCGCTCCTTAATTTTTCATTACTTTCACTCAAATATTCCAGAAAGTTCGACAAAACTTCCATCAACTAAAAAACTTCATGTTTACGGCGGGTCTCGAACTCGGGGTCTCTGTGGTGTAATCCACACGCCTTACCGATTACACCAACTCGTGTTGACAATTCACGACGAAATTTACAATCTCTAGGCAACGTTTGACAACCATCCATTGACGTCATGATGTCAAAGAGTTTTCTGTCACAATATCATTAAGTAAAATTTTGACAAAAAATCTATTTGGCCTTAAAATTATAATATGGAGCGTCTTTTCTGTGGACGCTTTTTATTTCGGCTAAGGAACCTAGGACTTAAGTGAAGATTGTAAAACAGGTGATAATTGAATTAAATCACTCTATTCTGTATCAACCTGGAGATAATATATTAGGGGTTGTTTTACTAACCTTCATATAAAAGTACCATATACACTTCTTATGATGTAGATGACTCATAAAAATTGAGTTCTATATTCGAATTTATCTGGTTTATTGTGGTTATCTAGATAATATTGAACAGAACAGTCAGACAGGCCAGTTAAAGAGCTACTCGAATGGAGTAGTAGGTATGTAGATGTTTGCCACGATCCCCAAAAACATCAATAACAAATCTTACAATTTATTTTCAGTACCTTGTGTTTAAATTTAATATTCATCGCCATTCCAGGACTATCCATTCAACGTATATGATCCGAATAAAACCCTGAGAATAAACGGAGGATCCTTGGTCATCACTCCAATACTGACGGAGTCAATCTACGGAAAAGACTTCATATATAATTCGGTCTTAGATTTAGATGAAAGGTAACACATTATTCTCTAATCTCAGCCGGGGTTGCGGGACAGCTGGGGTTGCGGGATAAGCGCAATGAGCCACCGCGACCTTGGCCCAGAGCTGGAGGAACAGGGGAGTTTTTAGTCAGTAAGAGTCTGACACTCCCTCCCGTCCGACCCTAGGCGGGGAAAAGTCATTTGATGATTTTCCCCTCACAAAATAAAACATTCTCTAATCTATTCATTCTATATCTATCTATCGAGTCTTTCATAGCCTGAAGCTTTTTCATGTCTGCAAAGGGTTTGGCCACTTGTCTCCTGGTGGTATGCAATGATGTGACCTATCATGACTTTGAAGAAGACAGAACAAAATGCCAAAAGATTGCCACTCTTTAGCGGTTGTGTGTATGAAAAATTGACATGCTTACGGCGGGTGGTTTGTTGCAAGGCTGGTGCAGTGGCAGGGCACCCAAAAAATTAGGGAAAAGTTTTTAAATAAAAAAAATCTTTGCAGATGCACCGGTGTAGCTCACTCATCTGAGTGCAGAATGGAAGCCTTGGGGGCTCAGATCTTGCCGCCGGTTATTACAGCTAAGATCTCGACTCGATACAGCTTCAACTTCACTTATGGAAGGGTTGAAGTTCGTGCCAAGTTACCTTATGGCAGTTGGCTGCTACCTGGTAAGAATTCTACGTGGTTACTCATTCAATCTTCCTCTACCAGCCAATGCTTTGCAAGTTTTATCACTCTGCCTATGTAGATATATTCTATCATTTCATTATATCCTTTACCTTCAAATATTTATCTGTCGTTTCTGTGTTATTTTTCTCCTGCGCCATCATTTAGGATTGATCCCAAATTTAAAATGCATCCAGCAGAGATTTTTGGAGAAAGACATGATATGAAGAAAATCTGCTCCTTTTTACAATGTGAAATAAAAAAATTGTCACCGCACTGCAAAATGGCTTGTGCCGTTCGTACTGTCTAACTGCGTGTGGCCCGGGCACGTAGGATTAATTGAGTCCAAGGATGTTCTTTTGTGTAGTCAAATGATAAAATAATTCCTCATCTTAAGTGAGAGGAGAGGAAGCTATCACAATTATTCTCATCAATATTACCATGAATCATATGCTTACTGTACGGCGCAAAGGCCTCTTTCACGGACACACTAATTATGCTGCCGGCGAATCGGCTATTATTTTAAACTTATGAATTGACATATGGTTTCCTCACATATTTTTCTTCATCATTTTTTTTTCTTTTATGTAATAGTTTGGCAAACGATTACCTGATGGTAAGCAATCAGCGCCGCCCAAGGACACCCGCAACGGAGGAGTTACGAGTGCGTTACCGACCTTTTAGGCTAAGAACTCACGGAACGATTTTCGCCCGCGTCCGCTGCGGTTGCGGGCCCGCAGCTTCTGTAGAATTCAAATATTTATATAAAAAAATAAAGCACATTTCACGACGCGTTTTACGCCCGCGGTGTACGCGGTTGTATGCGGCTCCCGCTGTACCGGCGGGCAACTAGCAGAATCGCGCGGGCCGCGGTTACCCGCAGCCTCGGCGGGTGGCACCCGCGCGCTTTGCGATCGGTTGGCGAGCAACCGCGGGGGCCGGCGGGTCTTCTGTGAAGTAAATATAACTCTAAATCGCTCCGTGAGTTCTTAGCCTAAGGCTAAGAACTCACGGAGCGATTTAGAACCGTGCCCGCCGCGGTAGCGGAACTGCGGTTTTATTTCCAAACTCACGAGACCGGTTATTTGCGCGGTTACACAGCCGCCGCGGTTGCGATCATCGCCCGCAAACGTGGCGGGCGATGATCGCAAGATTGCAAGACGGGCGGTTAACGATCAGTTGAGGTCCAGACCGCATGGACACACACCAGAAACGAGCCGTTGCGTTATATTTACTTCACAGAAGACCCGCCGGCCCCCGCGGTCGCTCGCCAACCGATCGCAAGGCGCGCGGGTGCAACCCGCCGAGGCTGCGGGTAACCGCGGCCCGCGCGATTCTACTAGTTGCCCGCCGGTACAGCGGGCCCGCAACCGCAGCGGCCGCGGGCGAAAATCGCTCCATGAGTTCTTAGCCTTAGCCTCAGGCTAAGAACTCACGGAGCGATTTTGAACCGTGCCCGCCGCGGTTGCGGGCCCGCAGCTTCTGTAGAATTCAAATATTTATATAAAAAATTAAAGCACATTTCACGACGCGTTTTACGCCCGCGGTGTACGCGGTTGTATGCGGCTCCCGCTGTACCGGCGGGCAACTAGTAGAATCGCGCGGGCCGCGGTTACCCGCAGTCTCGGCGGGTGGCACCCGCGCGCTTTGCGATCGGTTGGCGAGCGACCGCGGGGGCCGGCGGGTCTTCTATGAAGTAAATATAACGCAACGGCTCGTTTCTAGTGTGTGTCCATGGCGGTCTGGACCTCAACTGATCTTTAATCGCCCGTCTTGCAATCTTGCGATCATCGCCCGCCAAGTTTGCGGGCGATGATCGCAACCGCGGCGGCTGTGTAACCGCGCAAATAACCGGTCTCGTGAGTTTGGAAATAAAACCGCAGTTCCGCTACCGCGGCGGGCATGGTTCAAAATCGCTCCGTGAGTTCTTAGCCTCAGGCTCCACAACCGCGTACACCGCGGGCGTAAAACGCGTCGTGAAATGTGCTTTAATTTTTTATATAAATATTTGAATTCTACAGAAGCTGCGGGCCCGCAACCGCAGCGGACGCGGGCGAAAATCGCTCCGTGAGTTCTTAGCCTTAGGGATTGAGGAGGGATTGGGGGAGGGGAAGGATTGGGCCTCCGGTAACTTCACTCACGCAGCGAAACACAACGCTGTGTTTGTTTCACGCCGGTTTTCAGTGAGGTCATGGTATTACTCCGATCGAGCCGACCCATTCGTGCCGAAGCATGGCCCTCCCACACTTATCAAATGACATCATATAATAGGGACGTCTAAATAAGCTAAGTTAATATAATAACTTGAAAAAATATATAGTTTTGGTGTCTCGGGTCTATAATGATATAACACAAAACTATTTTCTCTTACAGAAATCAACTTAGAACCATTAGAATATTCATATGGATATAACTACGATTCAGGTTTGATGCGCATAGCCTTTGTACGCGGAAACTCCAATGTTGCAAAAAAACTCTATGGGGGACCAGTCCTCGCTGACGCAGACCCTTTCAGATCCGAATTATTGCTGGAAAAGATCGGTACCGACAATTGGTACAAGGACTATCACAACTATACCTTGATTTGGAAACCAGGTGAGATAATTATTTTTTTGATACATACATCCTTAGGTAAAGTTTCTTCTAAGCATATATTGTTTTTCTTCGCCTCAAATAATATCTTCTGATTTATTTCGTTGCGGGATCCTAGACAGTTATTCATGTCCCTGGGAAGCGCTGGACTGCTAAGTTCCGGTGTTTTCACGGTTGTATCTACTGTAAATCCTGGCTTACAGGAGTTGCAGCAGTTTTGGGAGGTTGCGGTGGGCTTGTCCCATACAAAAAATAAAAAAGCATATATTATTTGGGCTGCTTTGAAATATTAACTCAAATGTCTGGTTTTTCCCGAGCGTACGATGCGTTACGTTCTGCGCGAGACTCAATAGACCACCACAGACGGGGCCATATAGGGCCGATGTTCAGCCAGGGTTGCAGGGCACTAGCAATAAGTCACCGTGGCGTCGATCTAAAGCAAGAGAAGGAACGAGAAGGTGTTTAGTCAGTAAGAGTCAAACACTCCCTCCTCCCCCCACCCTGGGGCGTTCCTTCTCTATGGGCTATAGACAGAGGCAGCGGTGGAAATGTAGATTATACCCTCACAAAAAAAAACTGGTTAGTAGCAGAAGTTAAATCAGCAGAGCAATAAGTCCACGAGAAATATACACTTCCAGCTTTTAAACACCAAGTTTTCTGGTAGTGTGGATACAATATGGTCTTCAATAAGAATGACTTCTTAAAATTTGTGTTGTTCTTTGACTTAAACTGTTTTTAAAGATGGCCTAGATATGCTGGTGGACGGCGAGATGTATGGCAGTGTGGACCCTGGAAGCGGATTCTCTGAAACAGCAAAGAAGTACAACATCAAACAAGCCTCGTCTTGGAATAAGGGTACCATCATGGCGCCTTTAGATAGAATGGTAAGAAATTGGTGTTAAAAAGGTTAGCCTGATTAAGAATACTGTAGTGAATAAAATTTAATAAAAAAAGCGGCATTCTCACGTGAATTAACAGAGAAAACCTCTACAAACGAGCAGACGGATTACCAGCCTGATGGTAAGCAACCAGCGCCGCCCATGGACATCCGAAACAACAGAGGAGTTACGAGTGCGTCGCCGACCTTTTGGGTATTAGGGATTTGGGAGATTTAGGGATTGGGGAGGGGAAGGATTGGGTCTCCGGTAACGTCACGCAGACTGCGAAATACAACGCTGTAATTGTTTCACGCCGGTGTCTGTGAGACCGTGGTATCAATCCGGTCGAGCCGACCCATTCGTGGCGGAGCATGGCGCTCCCACCTCCCACTCTTACGACTTATTACCGGAGCATGGCTCTCCCACACTTAGGTACGACTTATTACTTACTATTATTACTCTTACGACGACGTTATACGTCGGGTAATAAGAATAAGAGTCCTGTCGTATCTTGAAACGGGTAGAGCTTTTCTCAGTTAAATTACATGAGCCAGCTATGATTTTTAATAAATGGAATAGTGTTGTGAATAAACTACTATTGACAATATAACTTTATTCCGTTGCTAAATGCTAGCTGATGATAACAGAGTAAGAAACCTATGCAACTCATAAGTATATAAAAAAAGAATAATTTCATTGTTTTTTTTTTGTTGTTTAAGAAAACAATACAATTTTAGGATTTGGGGGAGACCACATCATCGCTCAATATAAGATGCACTAAATCATGACGTCACACGATTTCAACATATATGTAGTGCATAAATGGAAAAAACACGTGCAATGTTCTAAATTTAAAATAAAACCGCCAGATGGGCATTTGTAAAAAAAATATACTTTTAAGACGTATATATCCTCAGGTAAAGGCTAAAATTAATTGTCTATTACCTTTTTCCAGTTCTACGTGAGCCTGGGTCTTCGGGTTGGAGGTATCAATGATTTTGATGATAACACACTGGATGGTAAGCCCTGGAAAAACACTGAAAGCAAGGCAACGCTGAACTTCTGGAAGGCCAAAGACGTTTGGTACCCCAGCTGGTCTAACAGCGCTTTGAAAGTAGACTACGTTAAAGTTTATGCATTATAGAATTTATAGACCAAGTATCATTGTCTTATAACAAAATAAAAATTAATTAAAATCATATTTTGTTTATTGTTTTTTTTTTTTTTGAGAGAATTTATCATCGAATGACTCCTCCTATAGCTTATAGTGTGATAGCTGGACTGATACCACTGCCTCACAGAAAATTACGTTAAAACAATTACAGCGTTATGTTTCGCCGTGTGAGTGAGGTTACCGGAGGCCCAATCCCACCCCTACCCCCATCCGTTCTGAATCCTTAAATATTACGAAACACTTATCTCCAATAGGCCGGCAACGCAGTCATAATTTCTTTAGTGTTTTGGGGGGTCCATGGGCGGCGCCGATAGCTTACCATCAGGTAATCCGTATGCTCGTTTGCCGATCTATGTCACAAAATCAATACTACCCCGTTTTTTGTGAGGGAAAATATCAAATGAATTATTCCTCTTACTGACTAAAACCCCCCCGTTCCTTCTCCTGCTCTGTGCCGAGGTCGCGGTGCCTCATTGTGCTTACCCCGCAACCCTGGCTGAGAAACACTATCCCCTGAAGATAACATGTATGGTTGATACTCTTTGTAAACCAGTATACCTAACTTCCATCGCAGACAAAATTGAAATAATTTATCGGTCTTCGTCTTTGGTAAATTAATTAACACGTACCTATCTAAATACTTAATTGTAATTTTGTTATAGTGATAAATGCATTATTATTTATTTAATTTGAAAATAGAAATCACAACAAGGCGTTTCAGAAAAAAGAAAAATAAACTTTTCTAAACTCAAATATTGAAACGTAGACGTCATGTAAATTCGATAAAAAATAAATAATAATTACATATATCCGAGTAAGTGTAATGTAAATAATATCTTCTAATGTAGACTAATCTAGAATAAATAAAGCTTTTTAAAATTGAATCTTCCTATTCAAAGTCACGGGGAATAACTAGTTACGACTATATGTTTACACTACAAATATAATTACAAACTCAAGGTCAACAACTGGTTTCTTGCTCGAATACATTCTGACATCGACCGCCTTGAGTCGATTCGAATACTACTCTTTTTTAAAAATTATCTAGGGGATTTTTCGATTTCGAATAAAAACTTACTTCATTTTAAATGAAGAAGAGAACCTATGAAAAAAAATTAAAAACAATTGAAATTCTGTTAGTCTTGCTAAAACTGAAGAATAGCTGAACTTAGCTTGGTTAACTGGATTTGGCTTAGTTTTTTTTGTGATAGGACATCAAACGAGCTTACGGGTCACCTGATGGTAAAGTTCTTCCGAGAGCCCTGAGGTCGGCAAAATGTGGGTTTAACAAAATCTTCATTGAAAAAAGACTGCACTTTTGGCGCGGTTTCTGGGCAACTGGCTGCTGTGCAACACGTCGGTTCAATTCCCGCACGGAGCAACTCTTTGTGTGATCCACAAATTGTTGTTCCGGGTCTGGGTGTGATGTGTACTGAAATTGTATGTTTGTTAACGCAACCACGTTGACGAAAATCCTAGTGTAACCAACGTATTTTATTAAAAAAAGGGGTTGAATGTGTATATTACCTACTATATCTTTACTAAACTTTTTTTGAGGGAATCCTACATCATCTGTCTTCTCCATAGATTGGGTGGGAAGGAGTGACTCCTACTGACTCCTGCTCACAGTCAGGGCTGTAAGAAACCCTGGCTGGTTATTACACGGCTAAACGGGCTATGTTATAAATAAGTTGTTGATCAAGCTTATTCGTCCATTCAACTCGTATGTAATCCAGTTTTTTCAACTAGTTTTTGTTTTTACCAACCAGATTGTAACTATGGAACAAAGTGAGGTACGGTCAGTCAATACATTCAGTCACCACGGCGGGAGAAGACATTGGATAAATTTGTACTAAATTTTTTTGTGTTCGTATTAGAAAACTGTAAAGATTGATGTGTATTAAAAATAAATAAATTACTCCCCAAAAAATCCCATTGGGTGATAAAGACGTATTAACTTATATTTTTTACATTGCCAATCTAAAAATAATCTATACCAAGTAAAAACATCAACATTACAATGTTAATTGGTCAAAAAACGCCATATACCTAAATGACGTCACCGCACCGCTAATAATGTGGTCGGTTCCTTAGCAAAAAACACATCTTATTAAAACACAAACTCTATGCCATTCAGTCCGTCACTACGCATCGTATCACACACATCTAGTCATAAATTAAAAACAATAAATTCATTTTAAATGAATAACATTTAATATTATTTTTATTGTTTAAGTGAAAATAAAATGAAGTGTGTTTTTGTTTTAATGTCGTGGTTGTTTTGTGTTGATTTAGTGTACAGTTATGAAGTGCCGCCAGCCAAATTGGAAGCCATATACCCTAAAGGACTGAGGGTTTCCATACCTGGTTAGTCACATAAATATTTTCTACAAAATATTCCTAAACACACAAGAAAATACCTATAAATAAATTTCAGACATGAGAATTTTGTCAAATCATTTCTTATCGCTTGTCCAGTCTTCGAGTTCCAGCCGAGGTTGTGAGTCAAGCGCATTCATTCATTCGGTCTAGAGCAGGAAAAGGAACGGGGGTCAGAAAGAGTCTGGCTCTTCCTCTCGCCCCACCCGGGGTAGGAGAAGTCTTTTGGGAATCAACTTTAATACAAGTTTTTTTCAATCATTGGTATGGGAAGAATTATTGTTGATGATTGTTGGAATAAGATTAATTTATTCCAGTTTATATTTATAATCATTATCTCGCTTGACCTCAGACGGGCCGCCACGTAAACGTAAACAAACACTGCGATTGTTTAAGTACTTATGTACATCTATCTATCTGATCTTCAAAACTGTTGAACAGATTTCGATGTGGTTTTGTTTTTAGATACACATATTCATAAAAATGAATATGTCTGTAAATTCTTAATATTCTTTCCTGATAATGTGTATTTATAACTTTTTCACGTAGAAACTACAGAACGGATACCTTTATTTTGTACTAGTTTTCGCCCGCAACTTCGCCCGCGTAGTATTTTGATAGAAAACAGCCTATGTGTTATTCCGGGGTATCAATTATCTAATCTAAAATCGGTCAAGCCGTTTTAGCGTCAAAGAATGTTTGTTAAAACATAGCATGTGCTATATAGTTAAAGGATCCGAATTATCAATTAATGTTATTAGTTTACTTCTCAGTAATGCATTAAACTGAACCCCTCTTACATCCATACATTCTTACAAACTTTCACATTTATAATATCAGTAGGATTGCCTGGAGCAACACAATTGTATTTTTTAATTATCCTAATAGTGTGATTTAACCCTAAGCCAGAAGAGTATAGGTAATTGACCAAAACTTTCATCACTATCCCAGGTATGGTTTATGTAATTTTATGGTTATTATTTACTGTAGGAATTGGCCTTCTGTTAACTCACTCACAGCGCGAAACACAACGCTGTGGTTGTTTGACGCCGGCTTTCTGTGAGGCCGTGAAAGAAAGAAAGAAAAAATATTTATTTAGATATATTATATATTGCCGTGGTATCCATTAGCCCATTCTGCCGAAGCATGGTCTCCTATACCTATATACTTAACTCGTCATATAGAACAGAGCGCGCCTCAAAGAGCTGTCAGACCATCTCATACAGGCCACAGGGTCCTCGTAGTTCCATTTTTTATGGGTTATGTTGACAAACGATCAGACGTAGGTATTGCCTGATGGTAAGCAATCGGTGCCGCCCATAGACACCCGGAACACTAAAGGAGTTCGGAGGGCGCTACTCGCCTTTTGAGGATAAGGATTGCGGATATAAAAGGATTTTGAAGGGATAGGGCCTCCGGTAACCTCACTCACACAGCGAAACACAACGCTGTGGTTGTTTCAGGTTTTCTGTGAGGCCATGGTATTACGCCGGTCGAGCTGGTCCATTCGTGCCGAAGCTTGGCTCTGCCACACTTGTTAGATCTTGTACCAAGGAATAGTTACTTACAAGCTTAGCCGCCTTAGCAGAAGTTAGAACGGGATGGTTTTTAGTCAATAAGAGTCTGACACTCCCTCCTGCCTCTTCCATAGAAGTTGGTGTCATTTGATGCCTATCCATTCTCATAAAAAGGCATGCAAAGCCGGATCGACATTAAATTTTTTCGCCATTCTTTGTTCTGCCGAACCTTTGCGGATTTCACACCTCGGAATAATTATGAATTTGTTTATCGCCATTTAATATTTAGATAATAGGTTTTTAACGGTTTTTTTTTATTTTTTTTGGCCTCAAGGTCAAATATTATTTATTTCCCATTTGTTTTCGAGTAATTCATTGAACCCTATTCTTATGAAAATATACGCATCTTACTAATATTATAAATGCGAAAGTTCCGATGTTTGGATGTTTATTACTCAATCACGCCAAAACGGTTGGACGGATCTGTATGAAATTTGGCACAGGCATAAGATACACTCCGGAATAGGACATAGGCTTTTTATCACCATAACTAGCGGAAAAGCCGCGGGCGGAAGCTAGTAAACGATAAAAGTCGCTCGACAAAAATCTATGATTGGACAGAATTTGACAGGACGCGTGTGAAAATAAACCCGAGCGGAATTCAAAATTGGAATTCACTAATTCCTTTTCTATTATGGAATTAACTTATCTTATACTTAGTCAAAGAATTATCAACCATAAATACAGTAAACTAAGGTTTGTATTACATAAATGAAAATGTGAATGATCACTGGCCTACCTATTTATAAATCGTTTGCATAAGGACAAAGGATTATACCTCTGAATTCGTTTAATCTCGATTATGAAGTTTATTAAGATTTTAATTTAAACACTAGTAAAGCTACTTTCAAATAAATTCATCCGAATTTGGCCCTTAAAGAATAACTTTACAGTTAGAATGGAATAACTATTTTTGTGTGATCCACAAACTTGTTCTTGGTCTGAGTGTGATGTGTATGTGAATCTGTATGTTTGTAAACGCACCCACGACCAAGGAGAACATCATAGTATAGGGCAATGAGGTAGTTATAAACATAAGGTATTGGGTTTAGGTTTTTAAGTCATGCTTCGGCTCGACCGGAGTTATACCACGGCCTCACAGAAAACTAGAGTGAAACAACCACAGCATTATGTGAGGTTACCGAAGGCCCAATCCTTTCCCTCCCCCAATCTCTCCTAAAGCTTAGAATTGATTTAAGTAATAGTGCAATAATTCTCTATTACATATCTATTCCCTATTCTCTATATATCTTCTTGATAATGTTTAATGGCTAATAGGCATAATGAAATCCAATAAAAGTATTCATAAAGAAGACTTCAAAATGATATATCAAGTTCATAATTAAGTAAATTATTAGAAAAAATATACAGTTTTTCTATCTCTGTTATAGAAACATATTTTGCAATGTCTATTTCAATTAATTTTCATAGCGTTAATCCCGAAAGGTCGTTACAGATCAAAAACCTCTACGCGTACAACCGGTCGGATTCTGACATCATATTTGTAAAGCATTTTAATTAAATAGTTCTGCGGTTTTCTATACAATTTCAACGTTTGCGGTTTTAATTACAATCGAATTGAATTTATTAATCAATCAATAAATTATACCAGGAATTTCGTAGCCACATCTTTTGTGAGGGCAAAATCATCAAATGACTTCTCTCGCCGAGGGGAAGGCGAAAGGAAGTGTCTGACCAGTCAGTCTAAAAGTATCCACCTCTGAGCAAAGGCCTCTTCTCACACGGAGAAGTTTGAGCATTAATCACCACGCTTGCTCAAGGCGGATCTGCCATTCCAAACTTAGAATTAGAAATTTCAAGCCCTGGTTTCCGAACTACGTTTTCCTTTACCGTATGCCAGTGCTCGTAGACTTCCTATGATCGAACCTATGACGTTTTTACATAATTGTTTTAAATAAAAAATGAGAACTTGGATTCATCAAATCAGTCAATGAAAGAAGTATGTTTTTTTATGTACACTTTTGAGTGAAGTGAGGCCAATGAACCATCGAACTTTAAGTTTGTTTCTTAGAGTTATCGACGACATCCAAACATCTTGTCCTTTCAGTTAAAGCACCCGGCACGAACCAAGGCATGACACACACTTTTGGATGTAATACTAAGTAAAAATATCAATTTCTTACTTACAGACGATGGATTCTCTCTATTCGCCTTCCATGGCAAATTAAACGAAGAAATGGAAGGATTAGAAGCTGGGTACTGGTCCCGTGATATCACTAAAGCCAAGAATGGAAGGTGGACCTTTAGGGACAGGAACGCAGAGCTCAAAATTGGAGACACCGTATATTTCTGGACGTATGTCATCAAGAATGGTTTGGGTTTCCGACAGGATAACGGAGAATGGACTGTTACTGGTGAGGTACTTTTTTTTAAGTTGGCAAGCATGTTGTCCTGTCGTTAGAAATTGTAAACGCCCATGGAGTCAAATTCAAAATCAAATCATTTATTTTCAATAGACCACTATAGGAGTATGAACGTCAACCAAAAAAAAACAGTTTCACTTTATGTCAGTATATCGGTCTGTCCTCTAGTGAAGCTATTTAGTTTCTAAAGTGTAGATCTCTATGGAGAGGAACGAGGAAGAAGCTCCATGAGTAGGTACTGCTTATGTCTCGCCATTTTGATTAAATAATCTTTACAATATTATTATTAAATTGCATATAATATTTCTGATAAAATGAAAACAAAGTGATACATACAATAAAATAGTAAATAATACTTAAGGAAAGGTCACTTTATCGAAAGGTCACGAATGTAAACTTGTAACAACTATTTATACTATGCATATTATTTATATACAAGATATATACAACAAACATATAAATACATAAACCTAGTGGCACAAAAAAATCTAGTGGCACAAGGAAACCCATCGAAGAGCCATTAAATATGACAAAAAAGTTAAGGGTGGGAGAACCATGCTTCGACACGAATGGGTCGAGTCGACCGGAGTGATACGACAGAAAACCAGCGTGAAACAAGCATAGCGTTATGTGAGGTTACCGGAGGCCCAATCCTTACCCTCCCCTAATCCCTAAATCTCCAAATCCTATCCCCAAAAGTTCGGCAACGCACTCGTAAATTCTTTGTTGTTGCGGGTTTCCATGGGCAGCGCTGATTACCTACAATTATATTTATAAATCTACCTATAAATAAATATAAAAAGCAAACTCAGCGATTTATTTCACTTTATAAACAACTATAAGCTTATATCAATAACTGAAAAGGGCAAATTCCTCCCCCAATTTTCAAAATAAAGGTATAATTCCATGATCCATCGAATAATACATTCTTCAAAGCTAAAGGGCACAGTCCTCTCGAAACATCTTGACACTTCAGCCATCTTTCTTTAGGAGGTGCTCTCAAGATGTCTTATTGTTTCTTTATTCTTTACAACGAGTCTTAGTCAATGTCTTTCGAAGATTTTGTGTGTGATTCCACGAATTCTGATGAATATTTTATAACAACTTCATTTTTAAGAGGGGTTTTGTTCGCTAACCTGATCTAAATGTTATTTTACATACTTGAAGGGATAAATAGCGGTTCTGCCTAGTCTCTGCTCTACACACATCACAACACGGTAATTTATTAAAATGTAGATGTTTAAAGTGATACAGCGGTTAACGTGTAGATGATTTTCCTGATGGTAAGCAATTGGCACCGCTCAAGGTCACTTACAACACCAGAGGATTTGCAAGTGTGTTACTTGCCTCTAAGGGATAAGAGGATTCGAGGATTGCAGGTTCAGGCCTCCGGTTACTTCACCCAAATGGCGAAACTTTAGTGTGGTCTTTTTCACCCCCGGTTTTCTGTAAGGTACCGAAACACGACTAATCAATAATTTCTTCCCCATTCAGGATACGTCAATGAAGAAGGTAACCCGGTAAATGCTCAAGATGGAAGCCTAATCGAAGCAGCACCAGCGCCCAGTGCCGTTCCACTCTCTGCATCACCAGACCAAGACCAGGCTCCTTCAGAACCTGAAGGCAGAGCTCTCCCACCCAACATCCAGTACCCATGTCAACTATCCCTCTCCAAAGTCAATGTGCCAGGGTTTGTCTGCAGAGGCCAGCTGCTTTTCGAAGACAATTTCAATTCAGCCTTAGAAAGGGGCAAGATTTGGACTCCTGAGATCATGTTTCCTGGTGAACCGGTTAGTAGTGATATTCTTGTGTTTTTTAATGTGATGCCGTATGCATCAAATGGTCAGACGGGCTACCTGATGGTAAGCAATCTACACCGCCCATGAACACCTATGGAGCAAGTGCGTTGCCAAACTTGTGGGCTGTATACGGTGTTTTGGAGATTTAGGGATTGGGAGGGGTTTTTTTTATAATTGTAGTTCTTCCTTATCGAGCGGAAATTGATCACTATATCGCAAAAGTAGACGACTTAAACTGTAAAAATTAAAATTAAAAGGAAAAAACAAATATATTTTTACGTGTAGGTACCTAGGATAAATAGAATTGTAAAGTTTATCCTTACAACTTTTTTAAAAGTCTTTTTACAAATATTAAGTGATTTGTATGCATACAAATTATTTATAGGTTATAAAACTTCTGTGCACGTAAGCGGAGTTAGGTAACTTAGGTAAAATCTAGTAAAAATAGCTTAGACCTCCAGCGAAAACCTATCCAGAATACAAATGAGCGAGTTTTCACAAAATATTTTCAATTAATTAATCAAAGAAAAGTTTTATTTTTCTTAAAATTCTAAGTTTGGAAGCGTTGGTGCTCAGGTACGGTCATTAATCAAATATTCATGATTCTGATGCCTTGATAACTTTGAAAGCTCTTATAAGTTTTCTCTATAATAATAACATCACCGTACTTAAGGTATATTATTTCCCAAAGGAAAAAACAAGTTTACTTACCTGCTTTGCCTTTGTCCCAGGAGACCTTTCTTGAAAGGATTCCCTCGCTTCGAGGAAGTAGGCAGGAGTGTCAGGCTCTTACTTAGTCAAAACTAAAGGGTTCGACACCTATCGCGATTAAGGGAGTAAAGAGTAAAATTCCCTTAGATCGGAAAAGGAGGATCCTCAGCCCAGACGAGGTGATCATCTTACAGGATTACTGCCCAACAGTTATACGTTGTGATACGATTTTGTATCCGTGTATATTGTTTGTGATGTAGGGCTTGTGACGCCATCTATTGGACAATGTCGTCAACAAAAGTGAGTAAAAATAGCTATTTCAAATTTTAAAAGAATGACGTATCTTATTCCAGGACTTCCCATTTAACGTGTACCTCAATGATCGTAATCTTCAAGTGAGAGATGGAACCCTGATAATCAAGCCTATCACCCTGGAGTCCAAGTATGGAGAGGACTACATCAGACAATCACTTGACATCACTGCCAGGTGAGGAATACACTGGATTTTTTTCCTTTTTTTATTTATGTGACAGGACGGCAATCGAGCAGGAGGTGGATGGATGGCGGATGGATTACCTGATGGTAAGCTATCAGCCCTGCCCATTGACATCGGCAACACCAAAGGAGTGCGTTTTCGGCCTTTAAGGGATAATGGTTTTGGATATTTAAGGATTTGGGAAGGGGTAGGGGAGGGGGCGGTATTGGGACTCCGATAACCTTATCACACGGCGAACCACAACGCTGTGGTTGTTTCACACCGGTTTTCTGTGAGGGCGTGGTATCACCCCGGTTTGCTAAATTGAATATCTAGATATAGATGCCTCTTTATTTGCAAATCCTATTAGAAATTACATCGCCAAAAATGTTAACATTTTTATTTTTTGTTCTGCAGATGTACTGGTATTATTGGAACGGCAGAATGTTTCCGAGAAGCTTCTGGCCCTCAAATCCTCCCTCCCATCATCACTTCGAAGATCACCACAAAGAATAAGTTCGCCTTCAAGTATGGACGTGTGGAAATCAGGGCCAAAATGCCGATTGGAGACTGGATATATCCGGGTAAGATAATAATGAAGTTCCTACTTAGAGTGATTATAAACTTTTGCCCAATAACGAAAAGTTATGAAGGCATTAGTAGTGGCTGTATAGTCGTACTGGCGCGGAGGTTAAGGTGCCCGCTTCTCATGCATGAGGGTGTGGGCTCGTAACCTGGCAAGTACCAATGTGACTTTTTTCGAGTTATATGTACTTTCTATTTTTATTTAGACACCACTGACATATGATAGAGGAAAGTATCGTGAAGGAACCTGGACTTAAAATTTCTTAAAATCTTATTCTTCTTTGAAATCACCAACCTGCATTGAAAAATCGTGGCGCTTAATCTTTAAACCTTCTCAATATAAGAAAAGGCCTTTGCTCACCAATGAGCGCTTATAGGCTCACTTACTGCTACCACTTCTGTAAGCTACTAATTAGATCTATATTTGATATAACTATGAAAAAACTGAAATCTGATGGGCAAATTGACGAACGAAATCGATTGTTAAACAAAAATCTTTTACGTTGTCTCAAGTTTATTATTTGAGCTGATGAATTTGTATAACCATTATATGATTTGGTATAACCATTTTATTTCCAGAAATCCAACTAGAGCCCAGAGACCATGTCTACGGCATCAGAAACTACGCGTCTGGAGTTCTTCGCATAGCTACCATCAAAGGAAACGCGGAATACGCCAAGAAGTTATATGCTGGACCAATCATGTGCGATACTGAACCTTACAGGTCAGTAGCAGTCCAACACTGTTTTCATTTTAAAGAAGTTATCAAATAGAGTCCAGTTTGTAATAGCAGTAGTTACAAAGCTCGTAATTTTTACTACTTAATTTAAACTTTATACTCGTTGGTATAAAGCTCTAATCACCCTGTAACAATAATTCGCTTATATGATAAAAAAATATATCTTACAGGTCGGCCTACTTACAGCAAAAACAAGGAGTTGATCTTTGGAGTAGAGATTTTCACAACTATACCCTGGAATGGAGACCAGGTAATATTTGCAAGATTAATTTAATTGTTATGTGTTATTAACGGCCGAAAACCATTTTTAATCTTTATCACTTGAATGTCATGAATCACCATGAATTAACAAAATTTGCTCATCAATATTTACACCCCGATTATGATTTTTGTCACCGACTTTTTGTCATTAAGTTGAGTGCAATAAAGATATGGAAGAGTGCGCTCACTGCGGTGACGTGACAATACGGTGCCTAATATTCCAAGCGACACTGACAGCCGACCTACATAGCCGAAGTACATAAGCTAAAACTAATTGAAGACTTTCCATAGGACACTTTTAATAATTTCGCAAGTAAACCATATAAGTCTATAACATTACATTAAAAAACAGCCGGTCTTGTTCTTCTTTTGTCAGTTTGAAATTGCGTTCTCCATCTCCCGTGAATTAAAAGGTCCTTCTATATTTGTAGGTCTGGTTCTGTAGGTTTCAGTGAAATGTTGTGACTTAGCGTCATTCGAATCTCTGAGTAATTTCTTTCTTTTTTTTCCAGGCACCATTTCTCTCTTCGTGGACGGGGAGCAGTACGGTGCAATAACTCCTCCAGCTGAAGGGTTCTATAAGACTGCCAGTGAGAATAATGTGGCTGCGGCTGCGCAGTGGCTTAAAGGCACTGTCATGGCGCCCTTCGATGATATGGTTAGTTGACAAAACATTAACATGAGTGCCCACTGCTGAACAAAGGCGACTTCTCACACGGAGAATGTATGAGTGTAAATCACCACGTTTGCTCAAGGCGAATTGGCGGTTGCAAAAGTATAAGTTCAAATGATAAGTCCAGATATTTATAATTTTAGCCGGGGTTGCGTTGCGCGTCCAGCCAGCGCCATTATGCATCGCGGCCCCGGGCGGCCTGTAACAGAAGAAAGAAGGCAGTCTCTAGTGTATAAATTAAGTTAAAAAGTATATGCAGTTTAGATAATAGCACATCGGTTCTGGACCACCACTTACCACAAGACAGAACCCAATAATAAAAAAGATACTAAAATTAAAACCTCTTTTGCAGTTTTACGTATCTATAGGTCTAAACGTTGGTGGAGTGCACGAGTTTGCTGATACTCCCAACAAACCCTGGACCAACCGAGCCACGAAGGCCATGCTCAACTTCTGGAACGCTCGCGACCAGTGGTACTCCACTTGGTATGACGACAGCAGCGCCCTAGAGGTGGACTATGTCAGGGTCTATGCCCTTTAGAAGGTTAGAAGAATTATTTGTATATTTTTTAATATATACTACATAACCTCGGCTCAAAATAAAAAAGAATGATCGTATCACATCATTAGCCTTTAATTACCCACTGCTGAGCAACGCTATCTTCTCACACGGAGAAAGTTTTAGCATTAATCACCATGCTTGCTCAAAGCTTATTGGCGACCTTATATAATTAGAAATTACCAGTCCAGGTTCCCTCACGATGTTTTCCTTCATCGTATGTCAGTGGTGTCTAAATAATCATAGGAAGTATGTATGTATAACACAAAAAAGTCACATAGCAATGTGACTTTGACACTGAACTTAATAGAAGAAGTAAGCCTTAACCTCTGGACTACGACGACCAATAAACAGATGATAACTGTGCAGTAACCAAGAGGTTTCTTGTTCGTACTTTAATAAGCAGCTGACTATAACATGTGTCGTGGTGGCCCGGAATGTGGTTGTGGCCCGGAGGTTAAGGAGCCCGCTTCTCATGCATGAGGGTCTGGGTTCGCAACCAGGCAAGTACCAATGTGACTTTATCCGAGTTATATGTACTTCCTATGATTATTTAGACACCACTGACATACGTTGAAGGTAAACATCGTTAGGAAACCTGGACTTATAATTTCTAATTATAAGTTTGAAATCGCCAACCCGCATTGAGCAAGCCTGGTGATGAATGCTCTAACCTTCTCCGTATAAGAAGAGGATAGATAGAGAAAAAAATAAGTTGTGTGTAGACACACACAACTTATTTTTTTACTGATATACCACTTTTCTTTTCCAGATGAGAATATGTTCAAGACGCGCAAACAACATCAACCGCCTGATAAATATTAATACCTAAATATAAAAATATTTTTATATCAATGTGGATTTTCTTTCTTGTCTCCTATTTTTCCTTGCCGATGCATAAAGTTGCATACTCATTATCGACATAATACGCCTTATTCTTTCCCTTTAACTAGTTTTTTTCTCTGTTGGTTCAGCAACCCAAAACGTGTCCTAGCTTCTGACTAAGAAGACTTTCTTCCTGCTCTTCTCACTACTTACTTTTTCTTTGTGTTAGAACGGCAAACGAGCAGACACATGATGGTAAGCAATTAGCATCGCCCATGGATATCCGCAAGTACGAAAGAGTTACTAGTACGTTGCCGATATTTTGAGGTCTAGAGTTTTGGAGATGGGATGGGATGGGATGGAAAGGTATTGGGTAACGGGGTTTATTGAGCCTAAAGTAACCTCACTTGCATGGTGAAACACAACGCTGTGTGTGTGTGTGTGTGTGTGTAAGGCCAAGTTAGCCTCGAAGAACCTTGGTGTGCTCAATAGATCGAGGAGGTATTTCACCCCGGGGCATCACCTGCTATACTTTACAAGGCGCAAGTTCGGCCCCATATGGAATACTGTTCTCATCTTTGGGCGGGGGCACCCCAGTACCAGCTTCTCCTTCTGGACCGCGTTCAACGATGAGCTGTCCTAATCGTTAACTGCCCTGTTGTCTCGGACCGGCTGGACTCTTTGGCACTGCATAGGGATGTAGCCTCGCTATGTATTCTCTATCGCAATTATCATGGGGAGTGTTCTGAGGAATTGTTTGGTTTGATCAACAACTGTGCGATTCACCCGAAACTTTCTGCCCCCCACAGCAAAACTTTGGAATGATCTTCCGGCGGCGGTATTCCCGAACCAATACGACCTTCAAACCTTCAAGAAACGAGCGTATTCCTTCTTAAAAGGCTGGCAACGCACCTGTGACTCCCCTGATGTTGCAGATGTCCATGGGCGGAGCCGATAGCTTACTATCAGGTGATCCGTCTGCTTGTTTGCCTCCTATTCCATAAAAAATCCTTTTATGCCGTGCTACGGGACGAAGGAACGAAAGCGAATTGGTGGTAAAACCCACGCAGCATTTGCTCCCATAATATTATATGTATGTTGACCTAAATCTGGGTTTTTTCTCTACACAAATCATGCATTTTCCTGTTTTATTGACCGTTAACTTGATTATAATTGCTGATAAAAATACCCAAAAAATAACGGTATTTTATGAGTTACAACTTGAATTCTCAGAGTTCGTTATTTTATCCTCCATATGTTCTTTTTCATTTTTATTATTGATCACTCCTGAACCTGGGGTAGGTTCAGGAGTACACATTTGTTTTTTCATCCGGGACCATAAAAGCGTAGCTTTGTGTTAAAATAAAAATAAAATCATAAAGTGTTTTATTTCTTGTAAATTTAACATTTTAATAAAATAGAAAATACATTATCCTAAGACGATCCACTGCCCATTTTTTTCAAGAAACTTGAGACTATGTTATATGTCGGAAACTAGCAGACGGATTACCTGATGGTAAGCAATCAGTCAAGTACGTTGTCAACCTCTAGTGTGTTATTAAGTATTTAAGGATAGGTGACTTGAGAATTCAGGATGGGGGGAAGAGTAGGGGTCCGGTAACATCAGATGTGTGTGTTGCTTTCATCACTTTTTCTCACACAACGGCCCATTCGTGCCCATCCATAAAAAAATACATAACCTGTTTTCCTTAATTTCGTTCCCAGATTATTAAGAATGATAAACCAAATACTTACACTGTTTAAAAAAAATAAGGACTCATCTGACTGAACCACGCCAAATGTTTTATAAGAACCATTCAATGTGTGACTAAATTCACTGCAAAGAACAATAATAATTTAGTGTCAAAATGGCTCTCCCAGTGAACAGACGTGTTGTAGGATTGTTAATAAATTTCTTTATATTCATACAAACAGTATGTGGACAGTATCAAATACCTGATGTGACCATAAGTGCATTAAAACCGAAAGGATTTCGCGCGTCAATACCTGGTTCGTTGACCTTTGCTAATTCATAACCTCACTTTTTTTTCTTTCGTTGTTTAAAGACTTATAATATTATTTATTTGTATATAATACAGTGGGTTCTGTCTACCAGTTAAAGTCTTATAAATAATTATATTAAACCTCTGGTGGGCACAAAGCAAGCATAAACTAGAACAGTTTAAAACCATAGACTTATACAAAAAAATGTTTTGTTTATCAAAAGTTAGGTACAATTATAGAAACGAATGACCTGAGCGTGTTTGCGGGATAATTATTTCGAAAATAAGTTCAAATACAGAGGTAGTTATGTTTTCTTTGTATATAAAACTGGTTAAATCTTAGTTAAATCGTGTTTTTGATTCAATTAGCATAAAGTAGGTATGATAACTAGGTATAGGTATTATTTTGTTTATTAATTGATAATGTCGAACGAATAACTGTAATAAAGACGTTTCTTTTTGGATAGATAAGTTTTTATATAAATATATAAGTAGAGTTTAGTTTTGCGTTGTTTGAAATGCAACTTTTTAAAAATTGTAGTCATCAATAAGTACGACTACAATTAACCACCCGACTAACAACAACTTAAAAAGGTTATAAAAGCTTTTACGAATTTTGCTTTAGCCGACACGACTATCGGAGTATCGTCACAATGATAGAAACAAACAGTGCCGGCGTTAGGGCGGAGGGGAGCCTGATGGGGCAAAGGCCCAGCGCGATAAATTCTAGAGGGCGCCAAGGACTGAAGTTGGAGTCTCTTGCCTCTTCTAGTGCAAACCCTCAGAACTGTAGAGCACAGTGCATATGCATATTTTTATTGAGTTTTTTAGATGGATTTTTCGAGGTTTCGTGGTCGAGGAGTCACTCTAACGATATCAATACGATCAGCAAAAAACTAACACTTGATATATTGCTTCCCTCAAGTGAGCGCTACAATATTTTCGCCCGGAGTGTCAGTGGCGCTTACGCCGGCACTGGCCACACACTCCACATGTCGACAACCTCGTCAGCCAAGTCAAGATATTTCATTTGTTTACTTTTGTCAGCTTTCTCGAGATTCTTATCGTCAGGAATTGAGACGTCGATATCACCAAATAAGTATCCTTTATTGTTTTTTAAGATCGGACTTTAAACCTATAGACGAGCAGTCGGATTACCTTATGGTAAGCCATCGGCGCCGCCCATAAATATCCGCCAAATTAAGTTACAAATCCGTTGAAGGCTCTTTGAAATTGTAAAACAAATATTTTTTTAAAAGAGTAACGTTGGAGTTTTTTGCACTTTCTTCCCCATTTGAATCTACAATTTGGAATGAGCGCCTAGCTTCACTGACGAACAGACTACTAATATTCTATTTTGACGTTTCAAAAGTACCTATTTATGGTTTGGTGGGAATAAATGATTTTGACTTTGATTTTAAGAGTTTGAGGATTTGGGATTTGAGGACGGGATGACGGGATAGAGTTTCCCGGTAACTTCACTCATACATCGAAACACAACGCAAACGTTGTTTCACGCCAGTTTAGTATTACAATACGCTATAACTCTAGTCATAAAAATACGCGTCACTTCACTACTAAGAATTCCAACATTGTAAAAACCAATAAAAATTTAATGTAAACTTATAATATAACTAAGTAAATAGGTATAGTTATGTGTACACGTCTTTACTTCGTCGGGAAATAACCTATATGACGCCGTCACGGTTGCAAGAAAAACAAAAAAAAAAATATTGTCACTGTATGATTTGATAGTTAAAGTGATTTTTATTAATGAATACTTGTATAATATGCATAAAAATTAAAACCTGTTGTAAGCTCAAAGAGCAATGACGTACTGAGATCTGAACAGGAGAAGGAACGGAGTTTTTAGTCAGTAAGACTGTGACACTCCCTTTTGAGATCAAAGAAAATATGGATGGATTGTGTGAGAAATGATATGGAAGACAGAGGAGTCAGTGATAGCGTGACGGGTGAGAGGACAGAATGGAAGAAAAAAACATATTGCGCCGACCCCAAATAAAACGGGACAAGGGCAGGAAGATGATGATGATGACTGTGATACTCCCTTTCACATCAGAGTATTATTGTTGCATTGTATGTATTATAATATGGTTTTTGTTGAAGTTATTTGTTTTGTAACCGTTACTACCATTTGTTTATTTTCTTACTTGCACAACAAATAAACCCCCAAAACACCAGCAACTAACTCGTGACTCCTCTGATGTTGCGGAGGTCAATAGGGGGGTTAATTGCTTACCATCAGGTAATCCGTATGGTATAAAGATAACTTAATTTTGAAACCTAACACTCAATTTCCATACGAATAATATAAATGGGATTTAATATTGAAAGTAAATTTATTCATAACAGATATTATAATGAAGTCAATTGATATTTCAATATTGGAATAATTACTCGGAACTACTACTATTTGACCCTAAAAGGTCAATGATGTAACAAGAGCATTTTATCATACATATATTTATTGCAGTATTAAGTGACATTTTCCTTATGACTGGTCTACTCCGAATCACAAATTCACAGCTTTTGTCGTTGTATACCCATAACCTATTGGAAGGAGATAATTACAATAATTTCTTGATAAAACAATGTAGGTATTATGCGATAGGGTACGATTAGGGTATCGTCTGAGCTTGCTTCAAAACAAATAATTTCTTAAACTAATTTACTTAGACATATCTGAAAAAAATTTAAAGTAAACACGTCATGATTACACCAATGAATAATAAATACAAAAAAGTGATTCCCCTCAAGATGTAATCATAATATTGTATTAAAAAAATAATTATAAACATCAGGTCGATATGCTGTTGAGACGTACGGTCTTATCTACTGTACATTAATTATTCTTATTGACATTAATAGTTTGATATTAATAGTTTGAAAAAAATTCAAACAATCCTCTAATTGTTCTCTTTTATTTGTTCTTCTCCTTTTTTGGGAGGAAAATCATCAAATACCTTCTGCGTCAAACTTACTGGACTAAGAACCACACCATTCCTTTTCGGAAATATCGGCCCTGTATACCCCCATCTGTGGTGGTCTATTGGCTCTTTGAGGCGCGCGCGAAACGCTACGCGTACGCTCGGGTCTGGTTCTGGTTTTGGCGGTGAGCTACCCTTGCTCGCTGCCCGCAGATCCGCGTTACAACAAGATCCGCGTGGAAAAAACGCTTGTCAGGTTTTCTGAAGATCGCTGTTTAAAAGGTTCATTTAACAGAGCTGCTGTTTCTTAATCTGGTCACACAAGAGCCGCTGATAGAGTTGGAGTAGAAGAAACTAATTCTACCCTGCCACATCATTTGACCAAGTGTGTAAATAACTTTCCATATTTTTCCAGATGCACCAAACGTCAGTCTGTTTGTCTTCCAAGGGAATGTGAACCGACCAATAGGCAGCACTGATGTCGGGACTATTTCTGGAGAAGTTCTTCAAGCGAAGGATGGAAGGTGGACGGTAGAAGAACCAGGGATAGAACTGAAGATCGGAGACGTCATCAATTACTACGTAGTGGTTACTGCGGACAGAGCTGGTTATGTCAAGGATAGACTCAGCTATACTGTTACAGGTTTGGAAAATGATTATGGATGATATTACAACTTGCACGTTTGGAGTGAAAATGGATTGTTAGATTTAAACATTTCTTAATTTATAGTACTAAGTCAAGGATTATAGGCTCCTGAGTGTTTAAATGAAAGGGATCCTCATTTGTTAATCTAGTAAAGTAAATATTAAAACAATATTATGACCACAACGATGATATGACTAACATTATCATTGCCAATAACACTCTTCTTAGAAATAGCAGCAAAATAAGTAAACATTTTTTGGGTCTAAGTACATTTATAAAGCCACAATATTAATATTCTTATAGCATTTCAGAACCCAAAATCCCTAATTACAAAGACATCGACAAGAGCTTCCACGTAAGTCCTATATCTCCTAATTTGATTTCCAGCTCTTGAAGACCGCACCAGCACCAGCGACTTCACGCCATCACCACCGAAGCCTACACCGGCCCCTTCAGAATGCAGACCAACAGCAACCTTAGTCCAAGGCCGCACTGTGTGCGCAGGCCAAACCATATTCGAAGAAAACTTTGACAATTTCCGAGATGACATCTGGCAGATTGAACAGTATCTTCCTTCTTCGCCGGTAAGTTAATTTATTTATTTATTTATTTATTTAAACATGCACTTACTGGCTCACAGTGAGCACCAAAACGCCAGCAAGACTATTAATAAAAATATATAGCACATCAATTATTAAAACAAGAAAAAAAATTAAACACAATACAAAATACAACATCAAGATCCAATAATAAATGTCAAATATTTACAATACATGTCAAAATAATTAATTAGTCCGAAATATCAAAAGTAAAATCTAGAAATAAAAAAAAAGTCAATATGTCAATAGTAGAAGTCACACACACAGGTCAAAAGTACATCATTATAAAATTACATTAAATAGTTATTGACAAATGTTTCGGTTTTAGCACATAGCATTTTAAAGTGGCCAGAAAATATGTCGATATCATTGTCACGAGCGATCATATCCTCAATAAGGCCCAGTGCCCGAACAGTCGGTGCATACAACGCATAGTTGGTGCGCGTTTGAGGCCACCACAAAAGGCGAGGCCGACGCCTCGGCGCAACTGTCCCTTGCTCATTTCACGCCAGTCGTTTGGGAACAAGTAACCTCACCATGCCCAGTACTATAGGGTTGTCTACTTTATGGTGCACTATTGACAGATAGTGCAATATTGTTTGCACCACCCTGAAACTGAGGGTCTCCAGATCCACCATACTAGCTACAAAAGAGGAAGGGTATAAGTAAGGATAGTAGCCATACCTTTTCTTATATAACCAATTAATGCCTTTTTTGAAGGGTTTTTATTCATAAAATATATTTCAATAATGAGAAGGATGTTTTCCAGAAAAGTGAAGGGTTCAGTTAACTTATTATGAATTCTAGGAATCGAAACATCAGTATATTTATAGCTTGTCCGTAATGAGCCTCGTGTAATTTTGGCTGACCAAAATCCAAATGCGTGTTTTTTTTAAGAAAGACGATTTGTCTCTCTTTTTTCTTATAATTAGAGGTTTTGTGACTAAGGTTTTTAACATTTAATATCACCGTTCCGCTGCCCACCTTCTTACCTTTTCCGAAACAGAAAACAAAGTTCCGTACTCGGATGAGACGATCATGCCAACAATTCTGTATTCTGTGTGTATGTGAAGATAGTTCTTTGTGGTAGCCAGAGTTAAGAATCGAGTTTAATAAATGAGCGGCCTTTCCCTGGAGCAAGAGAAGGAACGCGGGGTTTTTTTAGTCAGTAAGGGTGTGACACTCCCTCTTGTCATATCATGGGTGAAAGAAATAATTTGATGACTTTCTTTCCTCAAAAAAACACATTCTTTCTGACGTGGTCTCAATGTCTTGTCTTTATTATTATACTTACTAGCTATATTCATATTGTAAAGAGGTAAAATTTGTAAGTTTATATGTAGGGGCTAAACTTTGGAACCACTGGTGGGATTGCCAAAATTCTTTCACTGATAGATAGCTACAATGTTTCTGAGTGCTATAGGCTATAAGACATCACGCTACCATTAAATGGTACAATTAATGGAACAGCGGGTGAAACCGCGCGAGAGTAGCTAGTGTGCAATAAGTAGGTTATATGTCTTAACCTGCATAGTAATTTTGCACTTAAGTGACCAAGGTCATTGACACTGAATCATTCCATTTTTAAAACCGGTTGTAACTTACCTCGGGACTTTTTCTTTTACTTATTCATTTTTGATTTCCTCTCCTTTTTACGTAGCACTTATTTGTAATTAATGTCAATTATCTGTACAACTTAATTGATCGTGCAGGTGAATACCCTTTTTCTTTTAATAAACGCTTGAAATACTTCTTAATTTTCTTTTTAACTTTTATTATTTACCTGCAAGATTTTTAAGGAAATCATAATGAAATTAGAAGCAGCTTGCTTTGTTGTATTCGTATGATGTTTATTACCGTTATAATAATCAAAGACCTTGTGCTAAGGACTTAAAAGTGTTTTTATATAAGTAGATTAGATTTTAATGCAAAATTGTGATGTGTTTTTTTTTAATTTACCTTACAATATGATTTTCTTCTGTGTCGTGGGTGCGTGTACAAACACACAATTTCAAATACACATCACACACAAACCCGGAACAACAGTCAGTGGATCACACAAATTGTTGTTCCGTGCGGGAATCGAATCCGCGACATTTTGACATTTTGCGCGGGTTAGTTGCCCAACCACCGGGCCAACCGTGCGGTCAGAAAATACATTAATAAATTGAAAATAAAAATTGGCTACCAAAATGTATATCCTACGTTCAAGTTGTAATGGCTGCTAAATTAAATAATTCTTTTTATCGTACTCGTCATCGCTAGGCCAAGTGTTGTATGAACGAAAAAGTCGATAATTACAATAACCGGGACCGCCTGGAAAACCCGAAATATAAATATCTAGCTTTCATCTCCTAAAATGTATAGGTACTGTAATTGAAACTCTTTTGTTTCAGAACTATCCATTCGTCTCCTACCAGCGTCTGACTTCAGACCCAACCGTGTCTGTATCAGACGGCAAGCTCCGTATCTCCCTCAGCTTGCAACAGCAGCAGCCAGGGTTCACAGCAGACTCCATTTACACTGGATCTATCAACCTGTATAGGGGGTAAATACTTATTATTTTGTTTCTAAGTTAAGCAAATTGTTAGGATTTATTTTGATCGTCAATATCAATCATCAATTTCTGACATGTCTACTGCTGGACAATCGATTCATAAACGAGTTTGCCATAAGCTCCATTCTTGCCGAGAGTTGATAATTCAAATACTTTCTTACACAGGTTTAAGTAAGTAATAGAATTCTCAATAAAAAGTAGGATTGTGGTTCAACGCTAGCGGAACGCTACTGCCCGATTTCTGTTAAATATCGTCAATGATTTTATCAAAATCACGGGAGAAGTAAATTAAATTTGTTCTACTCCGTCACCACATACATTTTGTAACTTCTAGAATTAGCATAGAGTCTAGTAGCGTACCTGGTATATGATATAAGTCTTCACAAAGTATCATATTGCAAGTAGGTACGAGTTAGGGACTGAATTAAAAAATGGGTGATACTTTTGAAAAGTTCTTTCATCATCTTCATCAACATCATAATATACATATATCAAACATCCACTGCTAAACATTTTTTTTCATTTTTCTCCTGTGTCGTGGGTGCGGTTACAGACATACAATTTCACTTTGTACACATGACACCTAGAACAACAATTTATGGATCACACAAAGAGTTGTTCCGTGCGGGAATCGAACCCGCGACACATTGCACGGCAGCCAGTTACCCAGCCACCGTACCAATCAAAACATTAAATCACTCAATAGGTGTCCTGGAAATCCCGGAATTTGTAGAAAAAATATATTATTGCTTCATTTTCAGGTGCACCTCCTCAGCTGAAGCATGTATGAAGCAGGCATCTGGCGCAGATATCTTGCCCCCCATCGTAAGCGGCAGGATCATCTCCAAAGGTTTCGCCTTCACGTATGGAACTGTCACTGTAAGGGCGAAAATGCCTCAAGGAGACTGGATATACCCAGGTAACAATAGAAGAATAACATCAACTATTCAAAAAAAATACAAATCGTTTGTTTCAATTAGACCCTTAAAGGCACTTTTGATAGTCAAACAGGACTTAAAGATGGAAAGTGTCAGTCTGTCGGTCAGTCCTCTCACTGAAGCTATCAATAGTGCAAAACCAAAAAACAACATGAATTGTATCTTTCCCCTCACACACGAAGTGCTCTGACTTTTAATTAGAACTTTTAGAACAGCCTGTTTTAGCAATAGTGTTTTTTTGCAGATAGATGTGAAATATTGTTTGAGAACCGCAAACTGGAGGATTGCACCAGAGACCACTACCAAAAGTCATAAAATATCTTCTTTTTGTTCTGGCACATACCTACACTTTAACACTACCCTAAAGCTAAAACATACGTAGGTATTAACCACCTTAAAATGTTTGGTTACAGAAATTCTCTTGGAGCCATTCCGCAACAAATATGGCAGTCCGCACTACAGCTCTGGAGTTCTACAAATAGCATCAGCCCGTGGAAACAAAGAGCTTAGCAGTGGGTCTACTGATTACTCTAATAAGGTAAGCTAACCGATTCGTCCTAAGTCTGTGTTGGAGCCAAAATCTAGCCAAGGAGTCATTTTTCGACCCTGTCTTCATAAAAACTGCTGAATATACTAATTGTAGTGTTTTAATTGTTCAATGATTGTTGTTGATCAACATCAAATATTTTGATAGTCCTCCCCCCACCCCTCCACTCTTTGATACTCTAATGTTTGTCTTTGAGCAGTTCTAAATAAAAATGTTTGCGATTATCCTCATACACGCCGATAGCAGTTTTACAATCTCCGAATTATGGGATGGTGCTGCTGACGGATCTCTGTTAAAAGTGCTGACTATAGCTAGTTCTTACAACACTGCAGAAAGAGTAGAGCCAAACAATGTAATCTTTTTTTGGTCACCATACGGCAAATTAATCACGACTAGGCTTAGTGGATAGGTATTTTAAACAAAATTCATGTTCCAGGTTTTATTTGGTGGCCCCATAATGGACCTCCAGTGTCACGACACATTATTAAGCAGTAAAATACTGACCAACGAACGCTGGGGAGATGACTACCATGAGTATTCCGTCCGATGGGCACCAGGTAACTAGAACCATAATACAAACTCTTGATACCTTGTATGCCAGACACAAATTTTTCAGTTTTTTGTCTTTGTCGATATTTCGAATAAGAAGAAATGGTCGTGAAAATTTATCGCTCGCTTAAGGGGTATTACATAACACTAACTTTTGTAAAACATATAAGTACATTTTCCGAAAAAACCCATTTTCGGGTTTTTTTTTTTGATAAATCTTTCCTTGCTGAAGCCTTTTCACTGAGAAAGTTCTTCAGAACTTCCAATCACTGTCTCTTTGGAAATCACAATGGGCGAATTTATCCCACCACGTAAAATGGGGTCACGTCGGGTGTTAACTTCAAATATGACCCGATATTAATTTATAAAATATGCTAATAATTTATCGTTTTCTTTGGCACAGAAAGAATAATACTATCGGTGGATGGTGTAGAGTGGGCCAGAGTGGAGCCTACAGCGAGTGGGTTGCGCGGTCGCTTCCCTGCGCAGTGCACGCAACTCCCGCGAGACTTGCTGCAGTTCGGATCCAAAATGGCACCGTTTGATGACTATGTAAGTAATTTCCATTATTTTGTACCTTGGTACCGAAGACTGAGGGGTGACAGCAACCCTACCCTCCATTTGGAGGGGAAAATCATCAAATGTTTTGCCGTGGACGGCACGAGAAGGACTCGTATTGACTAAAAACCACACAGTTTCTTCTCATGCTTAACAAAATAACAATGAAAAAATCGAACTCATCGAAACAGCAACGAAAATAACGGTCAACACATACGAAGACAGAGGCCGCAGTATTATTGACCCAAAACCCCAGCTGAACATCAGTTATGTTGGGCCCATCTGTGGTGGTCTTAAGGCCCTTTGAAGCTGGTGATAGCAGCCTAAGTGGCTGAGTCTCGTAGGTATTATTAAATGCATATCCGAATCTATACCTAAAATTTATTTACTCTCAACTCTACAGTTCTACATCACGCTGGGAGTGGGTGCAGGAAGCATCACCGAGTTTCCTGATGGAGTGAAGACAGCGAATGATCGTCCAAAACCATGGAGTAACCCTGGGAGGAAGGCCCTCCTCAACTTCTGGCAGGACATGGACTCCTGGTTTCCGACCTGGAACCAGCCTCAAATGCTCGTAGACTATGTAAAAGTCGTCGCCCTGTGATACCTAATACCTATTTGGCCAAATACTTAGCTGCGTATAATCTGAAATAGTTTAATGTTGGAACTAATCAGGAACATTTGTGTCAAACCGAATTGGATCCTTTTCATATAATATTTTTGGAATAACTTTAACTCGCATAAGTATACTAGCCCATTGATTAGTTACATTATCGTGGCATTCAGACACGAAGGATTACCTACCTATGTAACTTAAAGTTTCATTAACATGGAAAAGAAATGCCTATGACTAATGTAAAAAAAGAACTAACATTATGGCTAAAAACTTTATATGAAATTAAAACCGAAGTTATGCAAAAACAAAAAAAACCTACTATTTATAAGTTCTTATATAAGTGAACATAGAATTTATGAGACTGCTAATGAAATTGACCTATATTGTAAGAAAGCTATTTTATATATTGTGGGTGGGTTCAGCTGTCGGCTGTCTCGTACGGGAGTGATTTTGTTTGAAAACTCGCCATATATTTTTTTACGTATTTTAATAAGTATAGTAAATGACAAAAACAAGCATGTCTTTTATTTGCTGGAGTGTGAGCGATCTTGAACAATTATAAACTCTTAGGAAATCCCAAACTTTTATTTTAAGGAAAATAAAAATCATCAAAATGGCTTTATACTCTTTCTGATTACTAACCACCCACATGTTCCTGCTTGTCCGCAACCCTGGTTGTTAGTTACCCCAATTCGGGGGTATTAAAATATATATATATTTTTTATTGTTATTTGTATTGTATCACATTGCAAATAAAATCACAATATTTGCTGATGGTGATGAAGCCATTTTGAAGATGTTATAAAACGGTTCTTTATACAGCACCGTGTAATGCAAAATTTTTACTACATATGAACTAAAATTATAAATTGTGACCAGTATAAAAAAATAATGGCGCGGTTGGCCTTTTTCATTACCTAGCGAGAATAGAATGATGAATTCTCCCGCCCTACATGGGGCGAGAGGAAGGTGTCAGAATATTACTAGCAAAAAAAAAAAACTACCTCGTTCCTTCTACTGCTCCAGGCCGAGGCCAGTATTATTATGCTTGACCATAGCTTATGTTTGGCCCAATCACTAAGGAAAAGGAGAAAATTAAGAACAAAATAAAAAACAACAAACACATTTGGAACTATTTTATTTGCACGGTGTACATGGTCTGCACAGCTAAGATAATAGAATTCTTCGCTATACGAAACATTAACGTATTTGACTATCATTTTGAGGGATGGTCACACTGTCTAGAGATGTCAACAGTAACATGGATCATTGGGAGAACAAATATTATCCCGTATTTGTGCATTGAAACATTTTCCTAGCTGGGGTTTATATTGACCCAAGACTCAGGCGCAAACTCGAGGTCAAGATCAAAGGTCAAGGTCACAGTAAGTACTGAAAATGAACCACATTCCTTATCTCCAATAATTGAATATTTACTAAAGGTTCACAGTTAACCGTCTCTAAGCAGTACGACCACCAATATAACTGCAACTATACAGAACTGGTATAATCGACAATTTCACTATTTTACAAAGAGGTGAAAACAGTTTGAGAAAATGTATTTAGAATACAAAATATTGGATGGGATTGTAATCGCTGTAATTGGATTGTTGGTGCTTCATTGAGATTACTTATAAATACGGAATTGAATTATGTTTTTGATATCTATGAGAAAAATTTAGACGATACTTTCTTTCTACGTTTTTTGGTACCTTTTCAACGATTCGCTTTCCAGGGACGAATTTTATTCAAAAGTCATCATACATAGCTTTAGGTTTCACTATTGGCTCCGACTATTTAGATACAGTTTTGTATGAAAATACAATGATTTTCACAAAAAAATATCTCTTGTTGGTGTCACAACGATTACATCCTCACCCAACCTTATAAAAGACTACAAATACTTTGATCAATTAATTCATATTACATTAAATATTTTTTATTTTCATTTTTTTGTTATAATTTCAAATACATTAAAATTTTTAACCTCCTACGTCATTTCAAAATGCCCTAAGTGCCTTAAATTACTACAGAGAGTCAATCCCTACTTAACATTTACTTGTAGGTAGTTTAAAAACATCAAATATCTTAATAATAGTGCGGGGACACGTCAAGCGAATGCCGATATCGATATTATATCGATATTCGCTATACGAATCTCCTGCGATAGTATAACGATAGCTAGAAGATAATATAAGTCGCAGAGACACAAACTTACAGATATGACTCGGGATCACATAGATACGTTACATCCTATCACTTCTATTTCATACAAAATCACGTCCTTTGAACAACTCGACATGCCATATGCAATGATTACTTAAAAAAAGGTGTTAATTACAAAATTATAGCTATGAGAAAAAATGGAATTATAAAAATATACGACAATGATTGTCAATTAAATAATTCACATAATATTACAACACGAACAAAATCTGTACTTAATTATAATTAATAATGGCGAGTCGTTCAAAAGTCGCGCCGAAGATCATAAATACTTAAAAGCAGAAGTTTTGAAACGATTTCATAATTTAACTAACAGTTAAAGGAATTACATTTGACTAACAAATATTATGACATCTGTGACGTTGCGTTGTTTTGCTAGTGAAACAAAAACTATCACTTTGACAAGAACTTTATATACTAGAAACGGATTACCAAAGACTTAGTTAAGTTAAATTTCAATTTTTCTATAATAAAATACAGCAAATATACATATCGATAACAAGTATCGATACCACTGACAACACTAGTTTTTCGACTAGGTGACACTAATATTTTTTTTTTCATTTTACATATTTAAATCCGTTTCTAGCAGAAAATAGAAGTAAATATAACAAATTCATTGAAGTAAGATTATAATACATATCGCCACCATCTCTCATACAGTCTTCCAAGCACCTTTTTAGACCACACAACTGAGATTTATCAATTCTTTTTTACAGTATCTGGCGATAAATATTGCACATCAACTTTTGGAATGGGACAACTTGTGATATTCCTATCATTTATTTGTACAAAGCTCCTCTCTTTTTACTTCTTTTTTATGAGTCGAGGAGAGTGGTCTCATGAGCGGTTCACAGGGCTTGCTAGATTGACTCTTTTCAAAGGTTGATGTTAAATATTTACTGCCAGCTAATGTACATTTAAAGAACAAAAAAAATGCCTGTAATTCTCCGAAATTAGGTGAGGCTAAGTGTACTTGCTGTACATCCATTCGCCAGATACGTTCTGTTACACCCAATGAAGGGGACGAGATTGTTAAAATCAATAAAATTAGGCCTTAATTCTACTATGCTGTGTAGAATTATGGGCCGTCGTCAAATAAAATACATATTGGTGAGAGATCAGATTGGTTGCACTAATAGCACTTTTTAATATCGATATTACTAACCGGTTTCAATTTAAGTTTGGTTTGTAGAGTTTTAACATTGACATGACAGAAATCTAGATACATTCAGACGTTTTGTATCGAGATCAATTATTAATATTATTCATTGAATAGATTTGAATTTACTAACATAGCTTAAAGTTTCAGCCACTAACATAATATGGACATTTAAATTAGTCTGAAATAAATTTATTTTATTTTTTTATTTATTTTATTAATTTCGAAGATAAACTTTTCTGCTATCTATAGTTATAATTTGACTGGTTGTGAAATCGCTGGGATTGAATTAGATTTTGCATTTATTTTTATTCTAATCTTTTTCGGAACGAAATTTTTTAGACTTAACAGTGTATAAAACAACCAATCTGATCTCACCAAGTTGAATGTAGACGGTAAACACAAAAATAATATTGAAATAGAATAAAAACCTTGTAATATCATCCGGGGCCATATAATTGATTATCACAGCCAACACTCACTCTCCCAAAACGAAATTGTTTCAAGGGAACATAGTATACGGTCGGAATTTTAATTCCATGTCAATTTGAATAGAAAAAATCTGTTATGTTTGATGAAATACGTAACTGGTACTATGTACTCGATCCTTGTTTATAAGCGTACGAAATAAGTCCCGCTTTTTTGAATGGAATATAGCGGTAATAGGATAGTCGGATTACTTAATAGTAAAAAATCGCTGCCCATGGACACCAGAGGAGTCATTAGTGCCTTACCCCCAATATGCCTTTTGAGGGGGTAAAGATTTGAATTGATTTTATTACTGATAACCTCATTCAAACAGTAAAACACGACCCATCACCCACAAAAGAGCCTATGAAGTTTATCTAAAAATGAATCTTATTACAAATGCAAGAAGAGTTTCATTTGTAACTTTATATATTAATAACATATATGTTGGAAACATAGGATTAAAATTCCGATCGACATATGATCATAAGAATTCATCGAATTTCATAAATACGACAGGACAATAGTTTTACAATAATTTGATTAAGTGAGTAACAATTATTATTATTATACTAAAACAAGCTGTTTCAAGCTATGTTACAGCTAACTGGTTACACGTCGAACATCATAATTAAATTTTCACAATAATTCTAATAAAATTTAGACCGCCGCTTACTACCAAAGTTACACAAAACGTATTTTTTTACTGATTATTTCAGTATAAACTCGTGAAAGAGGATCCTAGAAATCTCATAGGGTCACGAAATTGCCAGAAATTCGCGTAGCAACAACACACAACATAGCACGTAACATTATTGATTCATGTTACAGATATCATCATCATCAGCTTATAAGTGCCCACTGCTGAGCAAAGGCCTCTTCTCACACGGAGAAGGTTTGAGCAATAATCACCATGCTTGCTCAATGCGGGTTGGTGATTTGAAACTTATAATTAGAAATTATAAGTCCAGGCTTCCTCACGATGTTTACCTTCACCGGTGTCTAAATAATCATAGAAAGTATATATAACTCTGAAAAAGTTACATTGAAGTACCAATGCCAGGTTTCGAACCCTCATGCATGAGAAGCGGGCTCCTTAACCTCCGGGTCACCAAGATCCCGAGTTACAGATATGAGTATAAAATATACCGTAGAACATCGTAGTGGCTTCTTATTTCAAGTTATGTGTCCTTTCTTAGTTTATTTAGACACCACTGACAAACGATGAAGGAAAACATCGTGAGATTTCAAGTTTGAAATCTCTAATCCGCCTGGCGCAAGCGTGGTGATTAATGCTCAAACCTTCTTCTTGTTCGAAGAGGCCATGGCTCAACAGTGGGCACCTATAGGCTGATGATGATTATGATGTTGCTTGCTATGTTGCAACCGACGTTACGCGTAGCATGCTCTTTTCTTAAGATAAAGATCGTTTTTACAAAATTAAATAGACTTCAAATATCAAATAAAAATACTTTGTCGCTAAAAACTTTTTTTTTGTATTTCAATTTTATTTTCCTCTTTGGAGTCCTACAATTAGATTTTAGCACTATACAGGGTGATACGTTGATGCCCACACGAGTTTTATTTGAATCTATGCGTTTTACGCTTGTATTATGATATCGCATAGATATTATCAAATATTATTTTCTCTACATAATTCAATATCTATGGTCCACAAATTCTAATACATTTTTAAAGTGCCATCGTTATATATTCATAATCGATACATTTGAAGTAATATTAGCCTCTACAAATCCGTTTGCAATTTATTCAAGTAATTGTGACTTCTATACCAAGGGCATAGAGGTGATGTTGACTGAAAATATAAGTTTGCAATACTTTAATGTTTTTGCATTATACACCTTATTCTCAATACAATACAGCTCAAAATGACTTGAATAAATTGCGTTTTATGTTGAAATGTTAAATTTATTTCAAATGCCTGTATCGTGAATATTTCTATTCTAAATTACATATTTAATGAAAATGTTTCATACGTTTACAAGATTTTCGCAATAAATTAGTTTTCCTAAAGCAATGAAAAGCGATTTAAGCTGCTTTTTATTGATATTCACATAGCAATAAGCTAAAACGAGTGTGCTTACAATCCTAGATGAATGAGATAGATATATGCTAGCTATATAGCGCTATCCCTCTCTAACATATCATGAATATACCCGTTATATTTAATTATAGGTAATGTTTTTTGTACACAAGTACATTATATCATAGACACTGAATTTCTAGCTGGGTTTGCTGAAAAATATTTTAAAATGGCAACACTTCGAGTTAAAACGTCGATATTTTTATATTTATATTCGATAAAACGGGGTATGCACCTCTGTTTTGTTTCTCTTAGCGCAAACCCAGCCTGAATTACTCAAGAACATTTATCTAATATCATAATTTTATTCGCTATCGAAGGTAAGAAACTGCTATAAAATAGTCAAGCGAGCTTGCAACACCGATCGCCTAATAATAACATTACGACAAATAAATATTAATTCATATTTTAAATACTACAAACTTTCATAAAGTAGGCGTGGTACACCTCTAAATTTTATCGATAAGTTGGTATATACGTTACCGTCGCTGGTTTAGAGTAATGTAATCATTGGTAAAAATGCCAAAAAGGTGTTAAACCAAGAAAATTTGGCCCTATTTCACGTCACAGGGTAAAAGCTAAAAATATATTTCTAGCACTGGATATTAATACCATAATTAATTTAGATTTCTAGGTACCCTTTCTGCGAAAAGTACCAGGAAAACGTCGATTACAAACTGGACTAGTATTCCATATACTTCCAATATAAAGAAAGGTCACAATAACTGGTCGTTTGACGGTAACGTAAAAATCATAATGAAGGAATAAATATTGAAATAGTCACAAAGTCACTGGTGCTACCATCTAGCAATACTAATTAAGGCTGAGATCTTTTAAATTTGGTGACGATTTATGAATCGGAGGCGCCACAATAGCAAATAAGCCTGCAAGTCATTTTAATACTGGGTTTATTTATTACACTATAGAAGTGCGTTTATGTATTCGAACGGGACTAAAAGCTACAGTGGCGCCACCATATTGTGTCGAAAAACAATTTTGATGTCCTAATTTTCTCAGCCTTAGTATTATATAAAGGAATGCTTTCATTGATATACTTGTAGTGGTTTTTATCAACATTTTATCATTTAAATCCTTTCACATATTAGTGAAAACTTTTATTAATTTTATAAAAGATATTCTTGCGAATAATTTCAAGACATCATAATGGTATTAACACTGTCACATTGATTACACACTATTGTTCATTTTCATGTCAAATGTCATAATTTAAATGCATAATGAAACGCCGTGCTCAGATTCATTTAATGGTTACTTAAATCCTTATCCATTGTTACAATAATAATTATTATTATAGTAACAATTAAACATATCTGAGTACGGTGTTAAGAGATATTCTCCCTTTACTAAATGACTCTAACATTGCAGAATCTCTTAACACTATTTAAACGATCTAATGAGATTTGATAATATAATAACAACATTCTAAAAACATAAGTCAGTGGATAACTCTGCAATGTTAGAATCCACAATTGTCTACATACAAACTACACCATAAAAAACGTACACATTACTCACATATACGACAGACACATTTCGACTTAAAAAAAAAAAACAAACGTCCAATTCGTATTGCGAATAAAAAATAATCATTCGAAAATATACACTAATTCCACTTACATAAAGTACATACTTATTTCATTACAAGTCAACCTCACACAAAAATACTGCAGTAATTTCTATACGGAACTCATAGGAATATCGATTTTTCCGTCGTATATGGAGAAGGGTGGTTGATTGAGGTCTTGAGTTTCGATCTCAATCTCATTCTCACTCTCTCGCGACTCACTCACTCCCGCGACACTCAAATTTTGAAAGTTTATAAGTCCCAATGTGTTTCGTCGAGCGGTCGGCCCACTTACTGCGCCTTGCCGTCCGGCTTGTGTCATACAAAGTCCATGGCGTCCCGGGACTTGCCCGTGAACTTACCTGCGGCGCGCTTCTTCAAGCTTCGCTCAATCAGCTTTTTAATTTCGCTTACTATGAACACGCTTGACGTTAGGGTTACCAGGAATATTAAATCTGGAAATAATTAAAATTAATGCGTTACAAAATAGATATATTGTCAAAATCTAAGTAGAAAACGCAACCAATTTATAGGAAACTAGCGACCCGCCCGGCTCGGCTTCAGACGGGTGCAATGTTGATGCAAAATTTTTCCATTATTTAATGGTTGGTATGCTTAAATCTTTGAAACTACTCATCGGTTGTTGACTTGTTGATGTGGTTATTTTTAATAAGTAGATTGATTGAAGAAGAAATAACCACATCAACAAGTCAACAACCGATGAGAAGTTTCAAAGATTTAAGCATACATAGGGGAAATAGGGAGAGAGATAGCAATTTTGTTAAATACTAAGTATTGATAATCATCATTGAATTACATATCATTAGATACTGCTAATGATATGCAAACGAATTGCTAATTGAAATAAATAAAAATAGAATAAGTTAAAGAAGTGCAACACATACCATGTCCAGTGAGTGCTTCAGTTTGGAAAACCTTTTGCAAGGGCGGGAAGTAGATGACGAGCATCTGTCCCACGAGACTGAGCGTGACTGCCACCAGGAACATCTTGTTGGAGAACAGTCCCACTTCGAAGACAGACTTAGTTTGCGAGCGACACGAGAGCGCGTTAAACATGTCGAACAGGACAAAGCAGGTGAACGTCATCGTTGTGTCGCGGGGCGTTATCCGAGAGTCCGACATCTGGGGATAAACGGTAAGGTGATTAAGTTCAATATAAAAGCCTTTATATAGTACAATGACGCGAGATATTGAAGAGGATACAGAGAAAAGTAAATATTGTAGGAGAGGGGGTGAGAGGAAGAAAATACTTAAAAGATCACTTAAAATGGTGAAATAAAATAATTTTTAAAAAAAAAAACGAAAGATATTACTTACATACCTCTTGCTAATTTGATGATTAGTAGGTACCGATCAATATATTTTTCTAATACTGTTGTTGTTTGGTATGTAGCATTTACTTGGCACCGACTTCAAGAGGTATGTAAGTAATATCTTTACACTGTTATAGTTTTACTTGGCACCGACTTCAAAATTATAAAATAGTTACTAAATATTATTTTCTATTTAACTAAATGAAAGTGTGTATTACTTTGAACAAAGTAAATTTATTTTTTGCTTTTTAGTTTTTAGTTTACTTTTGAAGTCGGTTTTTTTTTTGTTAAAAATTATTTTATTTCACCATTTTAAGTGATAGGCAGAGAAAGCTAGGATGCTTCTTAAAAGAGAAGACGACGGCTACTTGAGACCGAAAATCACAGTAACGGCAGTCCTGAGTTAGTCAGCTTTCAGTGCCGTAAATCGTTGAGGAATTCCCGCGAATGTCAATGACCTCCATTATCAGGTATACTGCAGACCTTCATTATACATAATCCATATAGGTGCGAAGTTCTCATCAATATAAATGAATCAAGTCCAAACACGAGGTAGTTACTGTAAACCGTTCAGAAGTTCCCTGAGCTGTCCATCGTTCTCAACATCAGACCCTTAATGACAGTCATGACCAATCTTGGTGCAAAGTGCTCACCAATACGAATCATTCAAGCCTAAACACAAGGCAACTACTCCAAATAATCAAGGAGATCCCTCGACTGCCTCCCGGCTCTTTCATCACAATTTACTGCATAACTTCATTGTAATCCAAAGAGCTGCAAAGTTTTCATTGATATAAATGAATGAAGTCCAAACACGAGGTAGTTACTGTAAACCGTTCAGGAGTTACCTAAGCTGTCCATCGTTCTCATCATCAGACCCTTAATGACAGTCACGACCAATCTTGGTGCAAAGTACTCACCAATACGAATCATTCAAGCCCAAACACAAGGCAACTAGTCCAAATAGTCAAGGAGATCCCTCAACTGTCTTCCTGCTCCATCATCAGGTCGGGTTCGAACATCGGCAAGTTGTAAATTTGTCAAAAGCCTACTAAAACCATATGCAAAAGCACCACTCGCCCCTATAATTTTTGAAAGTTCCCCTCGATTTCTCTGGTCTTCCATCATCAGATCCTGATTTCCTTATCATGGGACCATTCTGGGACTATCTCCTTTCCAATAAAAAAAGAATTATCAAAATCGGTTCATAAATAAAGGAGATATCGGCGAACAAACATAAAAAAACATATATACGGTCGAATTGAGAACCTCCTCCTTTTTTTGGAAGTCGGTTAAAAAAGAGTTTTAGAGCATAAATAGATGATCGAACCGAACCGTCTTCTTTTCTGTTCTGAACCAAATGCGATAGTGTGTTTGGGGATTTGACACACATTTTCAATTGAAAACGCCAGTCCGCCGAATTAAAGTGACGGTACTGTATTGGTTCGGTTTGGTCGTAGATATGTTTATAGAGAGAGTTGGTTGAGGGACTTGAGAGGGAAAATTAGAAATCGAGAAAGAGACAATGGGAATCTGTGGAAATATAGAGGGGAAGCTGGAGAGAGAAATAATATATATGGAGAAGGAGGTAAAAAGGATAAAAACAAATTTTACAGAGAGAGAACAATATTTGAGTGACAAGAGGTGGAGAGAGAGAGATTGTAAAACGGGAAAGAGACACAGACTCGGGGGACAAAGATAGGGATAAGTCAGTCAGAGGGACAATTGGGGCGGGAAATAGGGGAAAATGGAAGGGAGAGATGGGACATAGGGAGTAGGTTAGTAGATGTATAGTGGTTACCTCCCGGTTGAAGACCCAGAGTGTGCCGGCGATGATGATGGCGGCGGCGAGCAGCACGTTGAGCAGCAGCGCGCGCGAGATGATGCGCCGCGACGTGTCGCGCGGCCGACCGCGCAGCACAGAGTGGTCCACCGGCTCCACGCCCAGCGACTGCGCCGGGGGACCTGCGCCGCAGGGCATTCATTCATTTATATACCAACAAACCTGTCCCGACTTCGTCCGGGTGACCAATACCTCGCTAACGACGTTTCGGTCGCTAAATTCCAATATTTCCTCTACTTTTCTGACATAAAAACCTTCTAATGATAATAAAACAACAAAGAAAAAAATCCTATTTGGCGTAAAAATACTAAACGGATCTTGAATGACATTGGGCTTTAATATTAATTTTATTTCGCAGCATGTGGTACATTTTTACCTTTAAGATCACACATCTTCCAATTTGAATTTGAAATTATGTTCTTTAAAATTTAAACTTTCAATTACAAAAATACCAGCCAAATATATGTAGTACACATATCAGCCAGATACAGTAGAGATATAAATGAAGCCAAAGGAATTTTATTACAAGTTCATAAATGGCTACCATAGAGACAATATTCACCAACTTACCGTCCATAATAATATTGATCCAGAGAATCTGCATGGCATTCAACGGGTTTGGTATACCCATGAGAGTAGCGAGCGCGATGAGGGACAGAGCCGCTATAGATGTCGACAGCTGGAAGCGGACGAAGTTTCGGATGTTGTAGAAGATGCATTTCCCTTCTTCAATGGCAGAGCTGTAACAAAAATATCATCACATTAACAAATATTATAGATATCTCTGCAAATAGTTATAAAGTAGATGGACGAGATTAAATTTGCTTAACCTTACCAATAATAGTAATGACTTAAATAAGAAGTTCCAAAAATATTTTTAAGGGATGAATCATTAATTGCTTTCTCCTTGGCCAGGGCGAGAGTTTGAGAGGGAATGTCTCTTACTGACTAAAAACCACCCCGTTCCCTCTCCTGCTTTAGGCCGAAGTTGCGGCGCCATAATGCGCTTGTCCCGCAACCCTGGCTGAACATCAGCCCTGTTGGATTGGCCGTTAGATGTGCAATGCTGGCAATTTGTTCGAACAGAACTGTTGCTTACCCTTAAAAAAATATCCTGTGAGCGCAGATCTACGCGAGACTCAAGGTGTCTCATATACCGGCAGACGACAGGTTAAGGAGTATAAATACATATATAAGTACTATTACTTACTTAGTAAAATCTAAAAAATACTATTGACTTACATGATAGTTCCAAAGTCGTCATCAACAAGGATCATATCAGCAGCTTCCTTGCATACGTCAGTACCATTACGACCCATCGCGATACCAATGTCCGCGCGCTTCAAAGCCACACCGTCGTTCACGCCATCACCTGACAACGTTAACATGTTATAACAAGTTGCGCGTAACGTTTTCAACATGTTTTTAACTGTTGTTGCTAAACATTCATACATTGCGCAAAAAATATCAAATACAAACTTCCGTAAAATATGAAAAATTTAAGTAAAAATCATTTAAAGCTTGCGCAAAACTTGTGGAAGTTGCGCAAAAAATAATAGCGCAAAATCCTCAAAAGTTGCGCAAAGGACTTGTGAATTATACACATCAACGTATATAAGGATAAACCCCTGCTACAAGTGTTACCTGTCATGCCAACAATATTTCCAACTCGCTGCAGTGACTTGACTACAGCCAACTTATGTTTCGGTGTCACTCTGTAGAATACGCTTACCTGTGAACAAAAAAAGTTACATAAAAAAAGATATAACTACCATAAAATCTTTTTATTAAATCGCTTTCTCGCAATACGGCATCAAAACCCTTTTATAATTAAAAAATATTTTTTAACTGCTTAACCTAATTAAATCTTGATGTTAAGTGGAGTACAGAAAAAGCAAAACCATTACTAATCTAGGATTCATCATGATCGATCACTTACATTGTCAATTATTCTATCCAGTTCTTCATCAGACATTTCATCCAACTGGTCTCCGGCCAGCGACTGTGAATGCAGAACATCCAGACCCACCATTTGAGCTGGAATGTTAATGTAAACATTGTTATAGTTACTCGGACAAAATTTGAGGCAAATTGATTATAGGCGTACAGGAAATACAATACTATATTAAGAAAATCTTCTTCCACTTTCAAGCGAGGCAGTCCCTCTCCGAGGGGGAGGTCTTTGGCAACCTAACGTACACAGAAAAATTCAACGCAAGAGTCAGTATGTCGAGTGAATTTCACGTTTGATTTTCTACCGTGGTATTTCTGTTGAGGTGGCCTATTCGTGTTCTCATAGCTTCCTAAATTAAAGTGGTTTATAGGCAGGCGCCAACGCTAACCAGTAGGCTGCGCGACGTCGCCGCGTCCGCGCACGCTTCTCATGAGGAAGAACCCCTCTGTGGTTCGAAACTAGTAGAGCTTTTCTCAATATTTACACGTGAGTAACCCGCGATTTTTAGTTAATTTAGTTAATTTGGTTTATAGAAGTTTTAGTTCATGATCGTGAGAAAAATAATCCGTCATATTAAATAAGAGATGTTTGTTTGTTAACAGAATAATCCAAACAAAAACATAAATGTGAAATGGGAGGCAAGTTCAATATTATGATAAATGCCTTGGTTGTTAATGGTCTTCATCTATAAAAGAAATGGGATCTAAATGGGTGCCAAGTTCAATGGTCAGTCTAATATATAGCCTAAGGTCTGATTATGGCGAGTTTTTATAAACCTTCCAACGAATTTATTATGTTCGATCGTTAGTTTCTATCAACAATCCAAATAATAAATAATTGAAATAACAGTAGTAGCCCGACAGTCGCCGAGTAGTTAGTCGCGGATTGCTGCTCATGAATATGGGCCTCTAGCATGGCTTGAAACTAGTCGAGTATCTCGTCAAATTATTACGTGAGTAGGTAAGCCGAAAACATAATAATTAATTTAGAATGTCTCACGAAAGTTATAATAAAAAATTATATAATATGAAAAGTATGAAATGAAAACCACGCAGCACGAATGAGTCGCCTCATTCGTGCCGAAGCATGGTTGTCCCAAATTTATTACAAAATAAATAGAAGAAGAATTTAACAAAAGCTCATAATAAAGTCGTGTCCGTACCGACAGCGAGTGCGGTGGGCCTGGCGTCCCCGGTGAGCATCTTGACGTGTACGTGTGCGCGGGCGAGCGTGGCCACGGCGTCGCGCACGCCCTCGCGCGCCGGGTCGCACACGCCGCACACGCCCGTGTACGACAGCGACTCCATGCGCGACCCGCGGCATAGCGCTATTATACGGAGACCTGGGGGGCGGGGAGACATGTTAATAAATAAATAATCCAAACTAAATATTATAAATGCGAAAGTAACTCTGCCTGTCTGTCTTTTCTTCACGCCTAAACTACTGAACCTATTTGTGTGAAATTTGGTACAGACATATTTTGGAACACAAAAAGGACATAGGATTGTTTTTATACCAAATATGTACAAACTTATAATGTACAAACTTTAGTCAAATATTTGTCAGTTGTACTGAAATACTTAATTAAATAAAGGCTGTAAAAATCATCGTTAGCGATCAACAAGTGTCCAAAAAATAAAATAATATACATAAAACTTCTTTGACTGCAATGCACAAATAGATACTGTGCAACGTGTCACGAGTTCAAGATCAAGATCAAAAACATGCAGTTCAATATCCACATATTGTTGTGCCAGGTCTGAATGTAATTTGTATATGAAATGGTATTTTTATAAACACACCCACAACAAAAAGGAAAATAGAAGTGTGGGACAACGTTAATAAAAAAAACAGGTGTAAGCACTTCACAGTACTTTTATGTCCAACACAAGCATCTGTCTACCATCGAGAATAAAAAGACATGACGTAATAATGAAAACAAAAAAAAAATATACATAAACATAAAAACCACTCACCCATCCTAGCAATATTGTAGGCTTCTCCGAGGAAATCGTTCTGTTTCTCCTTAGTCATTGGTGCGTAGTTGCCGCTACTATCAATGTACTGGGTGCAGAGTGGCAAAATCTTCTCGATGGCACCCTTCACAAACACCTCTTCCTTTAGTTTAGCGTCTCCAAACTTGGGCGCACATTTGACAACCATCATCTTAGTTTCTGAACTGTGAAATTAAATATCCTTCGTTTTTATAAAGAATTATTTTATTTTTGTTTAGTAAAACTAAAACAGACATTTTTAGCGCTAGCGCAGCGTAGACAATGTTCAAATGTTTCAATGTTCTTAAAGAATTTAAAATCTGACAAAAGGATTCAATATTCATCAAAAATAAGATACTTTCAATGCGCATACTTGCGCAGACCTGAGCAAAAATGAGTGATCTTGCGCAATAAACAAAATAATGCGCTTCAAACCTATGTCTACTCTGGTTTATTAATTCTATTATGTTACCTGAACGGAATCTCGTGTAGCCTTGTATAATCATCCCGGACATCACGCATACCGTTCTTAAGTGCTACAGCAAGTAGCGCGCCCTCTGTCGGCTGTCCATACAAAATATCGTCCCGAATCGTCGCATTATTACACAGAACGCCCACCTACAAAAACAACAAAGTGTAAACTCACAAACTTATTAACAAACTTATTGAAATATGAACAATCTTCAAACTTCATCAAAAGATCCAAGTTCGTTGGTTGAATAAAATAAAATTGATAACTTTGAAGGACTTTTGACTTTCAAGACGTAAATTAATCCAAAATCTATTACTTAAACAACCAAAAGATTTTAAAGTGAAAACTGGCAAAAGTTTATAACGAACATTTGATAAAAAGAAATGTTGTGGAACAATTTTACAAAAAATTTATGGGCACACACACATTTCACATAATAATATGCAATATGTATGAAGTTCGTCACGACTCGCTAAATTGGTAAAACAGCTTAAAGTATGAATTTGTTTTTTTTTCAAGAAATAAAGAGAGAAAAACTATTTATTTTGTTTATCGCAACTACAACCTTACTATGCAAAGCCGCAAAGGTTCGAAGATATTTCGTAGAAAAAGGCCATACTACTGCCAGACGAGTTAATTAATTGTCAAACTCTGCCATTTATATTAATTAAACTTGCTAACGACGAAAAATTTTTTCAAAAGAGCATTCTACTGACCAAGGTAAAATAATCAAAAAAGAAAAAGATTTCGAGAATTACGCTTGCTTGCTTACATTTAGCGTTTCATTTTTATATATACAAAAAAATCTTTCTAATACGATTCTAGCTAATTATTATTACCTCTAGCATAGTATTGACAGCCATCCGAGCTACATCCAAGTCCCGTCCCTTGTAAGCTCGCAGTTGTATGTCACCGCATGCATTGTAGCCTGTGCCGGTGACTTCGGCAATATGGCCGCCTGACGTCGATATTGTTGTCACTGTCATCTCATTCTTAGTTAGGGTTCCTGGGAATAGACTGAACGTGTTACGAAACAATCTTTCGGAAGGTTTATTATTATTGCACAATACACATCATCAACCTGCATCATTTAACATTAATCACATTAATCACCACGCTTTGGACAACCGTGGCGATTAATGCTGAAACTTTTGGACCAGGCGGATTGACCGCCGTATTTCAGCAGTGTCTAAATAATCAAAGGAAAACGGAAAAGTCATATTGCTAGGTGCTGTCAATATGGCCGCCGGACGATCTATTATTATTATTTATTGCAAACTTAATTTTAGGGATTCGGTCGATTAGCATCGATTTTTGAGATGCGATTATGGTCCGTAGTTTCCTTGTCCATTTGGTTTTATTGTTTTTAAGGGTAAACTGATTGAGGTAAAAACTTATTACCATTCACAAATTTATAAATCCATTATAGACCATTCTAATTTAAATATATACATTTTTATGTTAAACTATAAATACTGACACTGAAGACCAGGTCATTATCTAATTAAGAAGTTTGAAACTTCTTAATTAGATAAGGACCTGCTGTCTTCATGAAATTAAGTATCTTACCGGTTTTATCACTGCAGATCACGTTCACACATCCGAGGGTTTCCACCGTAGGTAGCTTCTTAACGATGGCATTCCTCTTGGCCATGCGCATTACGCCCAGAGCCAAGGTGACCGTCACCACGATGGGCAGACCTGGAGAAAGAGAAAAATAATTTTATAATAAAGAAAATGATTGAGAGAATAGACGGAAACAGCTACCATTATAACCGTGATAGGCCTCTGAGTTTATTTCGAAATTTCCTCTCAGAGTAGTCAAATAGGAAATGCCGCTTTATCTAGTTTTTAATACATAATTTTGACGTGTAAAAGTGCCGTTTTATGGCCTATTTGCAAAAATAAATTTATCATTTCATTAAGAAATCGAGTGGAAGTGGACACAGAAGAAACAAATTACGCAATTTGATAATGGATAAAAATATGCTAATTCTATAAATCTAAATCGAAAACAAACGTTAAAATGGTGTGCTTGACCGAAACATGAAATACAAAACTTCAAACCCGGCCAAAACCTTCAAAAACAACAACAGATATAACATCTGTTTACACTAAATATTTTTTTATACTTATTAAATGACTCTGAACTGAGTCACAATCAACTTTCAACCACCACGGAAGGCCTAGTTTCCACGACATCTGACTTACCTTCCGGAATAGCAGCAACAGCCAAACTGACGCTGATGGTAAACATCTCCTGCAGGGCCTTGCCTTGCAGCCAGCCAGTTACCATGATGAAGCCAATGATGCAGAACGAATACATGGACAGCTGAGCTCCGAGGGTATCCATGGATTTCTGCAGTGGGGTCTTGGGAGCTTCCTCAGCTTGCATCATGCGGAATATGTCTCCGAATTCTGATCGCTCGCCTGTGCTTACTACAATACCCTGATAAAGAAAGAAGTGGATCAGTTTCACGAAATTAAAATATGCTCTTTTTCTGGATAAAACAGTTTAAAGAACTCTTCAATCAATTCAAATGTATTTTTTTTTTAGTTCTGAACGCTTTTTGTGAGGGTTAAATCATGTTTTCTTTTGGGACAACCTTCCCCCCTCCCCAATTTTCCAAAACCGCTGCAACTCCTGTTAGCCAGGATCTACGGTAGATACTTCCATGAAAACACCGGAACACTGGTCCCGCAACGAAATAAATCAGAAGATATTATTTGAGGAGAAGAAAAATGAAATAACTTCTCGAATTCAGACTTTTACTGACTAAAAACCACCATTCCCTCTCCTGCTCTAGGCCGAGGCCGCGGTGTCTCATTGCGCTTACCTAGCGACCCCGGCTGAACAATCACCCCTATAGAGCCCCGTCTGCGGTGGTCTATTGGCTCAATGAGGCGCGCGCGGAACGCAACGCGCCGTACGCTCGGGTCTGATTTAAAATACAACATTTTCCTACTAGCTATTTTTGAAGTTAAACTACCTTAACAGCTACACTGCTTCTACAAATACTCTAAAAACACTTACCTTAGCATTACCACAGCGGACAAGGGTCCCCATGAACGCAATGTTATCCTTATTCACCCTTCCAGCAGCCGCTTTATTAGGGAGAACGCTTTTCACGGCCGGTTCCGTCTCTCCAGTGAACGAGGACTCATCAATGGCCAGATCCGTGGAGTCAAAAAGCCTGAGGTCGGCCGGTACTCGGTCGCCGACATTGAGGTGAACTATATCACCGGGCACCAGGTTTCTCGCTAAGAAGTGCTCCAGGCTGCCTTCTCGGAGACTGTTGAAAAATTTTAAAATGACAGACTTTCCACGAGACGAGTATACTTTCCACAATTTTGCTATTGCTGTTTTTTTGTGTGAGCTTTTTAAATTATGCATTTTGTTATTCTTACGTAGCAAAATTCTTTCGGCGATACGAAAATGAAAATAACTTGTAACGTCACGATTAAGTACAGTCATGGCTCAAAGATGCAATTACACTCTAAAAAGTTTAATGGTTCACAGCCAGTTTATTCAATAATTTAGATTCTATGCTATAAATTAAAGCAGTCCTCAACCATTGACTCTATTCTACAAAGATATTTTGGTCATTTTAAAATTGGTAGAGTGCAATTGCATTTTTGACCCCTACTGTACATTGTATACTTTGCGGTGACTTAGCTAGCCCAAACTTCTAAGCTTCAATATGTTTTGTGAAAGTATTGTTTGTTTTATGAATAAATAAAAAAAAAACAAAGGTTTTCCCGCACGAAACCAGTCTACGTATGTTTGTTTGTTTGTGCATCCAGGACAACAGAGAAAATCAGAGAAGGGCGACATTAAAAAAATGTGTAAGACAATTCACAGTACGTACGGCGTCAAAGAGTTGTTATCGGACCGGTCATTGACGTCATACAGAGGGCTTCAATTTATTGGCAATTATAAGGTCAATACATTACAATAAAGCGCTGTTACGAGCTTCAGTACAACATTATTAGATTATCAATTAAATATGATGCTTTAACCGAATATAGACAGACAGTTGCCCAACCACCGCGCCAACTATGCAGTCATTAACAACAGTAAAAAAAGAAATGACATACTTAATAAAATAAATCAGAATGAGATAACTAAGTTCAATTAAAGTAAGATTTGTTATTATTGAGCTCAGTAACCGACAAACAATAATTAAGCGTCTAGTAGTCTCATTAAGTCAATTGCTAATAAAGAAATATGTACATCATCCAATATCTATGTTTGGTTTTGGTCACAGAGAAGGTATAAAATTCTGACATAAGCTCTAGTTCCTAATTGCAAACGAGCATCCGGATTACTTGATGGTAAGCAATCGGCGCTGCCCATGGATGAACACTCGACACGAAATCAATTACAACAAATGAATTGTCGGCCTTTTGTTGGTTATAAGAGATTTACGGATATGGGATTTGAAAACGAACCAAGCGTTGTTTCACGCCGGCATTCTATGAGGGCCGTGGTATCACTCCAGTGGGAGGGCCTGTTGGCGACAAAGTGTAGTTTTCCCGACATGAATTAATGTTTAGTCAAGAGGTATATTACAATTGTTGAGCAAGGAACATATCCAGTTCATGGGTCGAAGTATTATTCAGTTAATAATAAGAAAACAAGGTTGATTTGTAAAAGAAAACTAATTGGGCTAGTTAAACCAACTAGTAGTACAAGGTAACCTTAGTAATTTCGAGTGAATGGCAGCTGATTGGGAACCTGCCATTACAAGCCCTTTCAATTGAGGGACAAATTACACAAGAAATTACGCGAGTAAGGTTGTTATAGAAGAAGAAAAATATTATTTGTAAGAAACAAACAACGAACTCTTTAATTAGCATGACATCACGATTTTCCCTGAGGAGTTAGAAACAGAAGAAAATTTTCCGGTTTATCACAAAGTAGTACATATAAGATCGTGAATGAAAAGTAGTGTAGGAATGAAGGGCACAAATCCTCCATCGAAACTAGACTTCAGAAACCGTATACCAATGCACCTTAAAAAAAATCCTTTCCTAGATAGAACCACAACCATGTACAACAAGCATTCTGAAAAGAGAGCATTGCTTGTGACGTCACTCACCAGTTGCAAGATGGCGGCACCAGTTTGTTCAGCTCCTCCAAAGATTTTTCGGAGCGATACTCCTGGACGAAGGCAACGGTCACTACTATCATGATGGCCACGGTGATTGATATGGCATCGTCGAACTGCCGCATGCAGATGCTCACCACTGCTGAGCCTGTAGACAAAAGGAAATAAACGTTAAGGTGACTAATCAGCTTGGGTTCCGGGTACAATGATGTACCGAGGCGCCAGCTAGGAGTAGGAGAAAAACTGGGTGATGTTTTAGTAGTAAGAGACTCTTTCCCTAGAAAGTAGTCGTTTGATGGTTCACAAAAAATAAAAAAGTGTCAAATTAAACGATAGATAGATAGACCGTCACCATCATCACGTTTTATCATTTAAGGTATAAATTATGGGTCTGGGTGTCATGTATATGAGAAATTGTATGTTTGTAACCGCACCCACGCCACAGGAGAAAATCCTAATGCGAGGCAGCAATTAAAAAAAAAAAAAATTATAATTAATCTACTTTTAATAATTTTATAAGTCCCATACCTACATGCGAACGATTTTACACTTCACATATGAGCTTTTACAACTTTTGTCGTCTTAAAAAATATACCACTATTGTTTTATTAATGGTTTCGTTACCCTTTTACTATATCCTACAAATTATTTTATTTAACGTCTTACAAGAGTAACTTTTTGAATAGGAACTCGATTGCTTTCAAGCCACTGACTACCTGGCTGGTGAACCCTTTGTTAAATTAATAATTAAACAAGACTTAATCATTTGTATTTCGAAACTATTAAGAGTGTAAATTTGGGAAAAGCAATTCCTTTTTCAGCCGGAGTTGCGGGGCAGCCGCAATAAGGTACCACCTACTCGACCGAGGACTCGGTGTTGGACGAGAAGGATATCTTATATTTTACCAGCTCAAAAAAAAACTATTTCTGCCTTATATTGCCGATACTTTAATCCATAAAAGACGTAATACACGTATATTTGTAACCTATAAAAGCAACATTATTCGCTTTTTCTGTCACTATATCCTTATGTCCCTATGCTTAAATCTTCAAACCTACGCAGCGGTTTATTTTCTAGGTAAAGTGATTCAAAAGAAGGCTTATAATACAGAGGTTATAACGTCCATTAAATATTGGAGAAATTTAGTATATTAGCATTGCATCTGTGCGAAGCCGAAGCGGGTCGCTAGTACTTATTATATAAATTCTAGAAAAAACGATACAGTCGCAAGTCGTGCAAGGGGACAATAGACACGCAAACCCTAGAAATAACCAGTAATAACTGCATGGTAAATAACAGGTGCAACCATTTAAAGGCCACATCGATATTATAAGTAGGTATAATAGGTACTTCGTGTCACTAATCGATTTATAGACTAGTCCTGTAGAAAGACTTTACAATAAAATTATCTCTATTCAAAAAATTTCTACGTTTTATGCTTCATGAAGTTAATGTTTAATGAGGGATAACGGACCGTAATCGCTCTTTTATCAAGCACGAGGGTGCGGGCTCAAAACCTCGCAGTACGAATGTGACTTTTTCCGAGTTATACATATGTAGGTAATGGTGATGGCAAATCGTGAGCACCGATTCGCCTTTATAAAATTCCATCCTACAACACATGGCACTATCAGTCATCGATGTTAGTTGATGATGAATGCTAGATATCTGGTCAGTTCCAAATGATGATGACGATGATGATGATGATGACGACGCGACGCAAACAACTAAATATATTAAATGTTCAAGGTCCCAGAAGTATAATTTCCATTGTTTTTAGTCATGTATACTGCCAATGACACGGCTTATTACCTCTGATGATTGTAATGATGATACCTACACCTAACTGGAAGTCGACATGGCAGTGTGATGTTTTTATTAGAAAAAATAAACATGGCTGCAAAAATCCTTCGACATAAATAAAGACTAATCAGAACGCAGACTCTCTTTTATAGGATAGACCCAGTCAATGTGTGTCCTGAGGCGCGGAGGTTAAGTAGACCGCTTTTCATGCACAAGGGAGCGTGTACGAAGGTTTAGCAAGTATAAATGGGACTTTTTCCGAGTTATACGTACTTTATAAGATTATTTAGACACCCCTAGGTGTCTACCACCTACACCTACTAATTATTTAGACACCCCTAGGCCCCCCTGTCTAAATAATTTGGGTGAGGAAACCTAGACTTATAAATTTGAAATCGCCAATCCACCTTGAGCAGGCGTGGTGATTAATGCGCAAAACTTATCCGTATGAGCAGAAGCCTTTGCTCAGCAGTGGTGGATACTTATAGGCTGATAATGTAATAACGTAAGCCAACGAGCATAGTTAAGGCTTACCAGATGGTAAACAATCAGCGGCGATGGAAATCCGTAATACCAGAGCAGTTACAAACGTTTGCAGACCTCCTTGAAGGAGTAGATTTGAGGGTGTTAGCATTGCGAATAAGAGAGCGAAGTATTGGGCGTTGTTAAAACCTGCCGTGAATCCTGGTATTCGTATTTGTGAAGCTCGTTTGCGTTTACTATTTTGAATATCACTTTAAGAACTAATTAATTTGTTCATTTACGACTCTCTGATTCAAATTCCAATAACTACAGTTTCTCTTTCAAATCGGTTTATTGGCATGTTTAATATCAACATACGATCGATCGTATATTTTGCAATGTACCCCCTTTAAGTTGAGTTGGGTAAGTATAAATTACATTTCGACCAATGACGTATTATATATAGACACGTCATGAACCAACATCGCGGCGCTTAAAAACGGCGAAAATACTAGATAACTACTTCTACGAGTAAAGAAAGGGAAAGAAAATATGACATCGTATAGTGGAATGCCTTTGCTAGAGGGAGATAAATATACATCTTCAGTTACGCCGACGGCACGTGACTATACCTTCATGCGCCGGCCGCCATTTATGAAGGTGGGCGCCGGCGTCGAAAAAAATAAAATAAAAATAGGTTGTTTGGTGAATTTACGCATGAAATGACACATTTTTGTCTTTAACTTTTGGAGTATAATTTGTACATCATCTGAACACACGACGACGTGCTTTCTTTATGTTTCGCACAGGTTTACACACGATATAAATTAAAAACAAACGTAGCGTCGCGCGGCAGGTTGGTGCGTAACTAAGCGCGATGTTGTCAATTGCCTTCATTTCATGTTGTCATTTTAGAGCGCGGACAACGTATCTATAGTTTTATACATCATTGATTTCGACTGTAAATTTAAAAAATATTTTAGCTTGAAACTGATATCTAAATTAGCTTTGAACAATTTACGTTGTTTTGATAGAGCTCAAGTATAATTATGTTCATTACAATTTTAAATGAAAACCAGTAGACCGAAAGAGAAATTATTTTCGTTGATAGAATAAAAATAATTCAATTTATACTCAAACATTAAAGTATAGGTGCTTGTAGTACTCGTGGTGTTTATACTGGCAAAGAATTCCTATGACATTAAGTTCTAAATTACGAAGTAAATAGAAATAATCACCTACGTTTACTGACGAACAAACTGACAGACTATTATTCTTTTCAGACAAAAGTACCTCTGTTTATGGTTTAGGTGGAATAATGACTTTGGACAAATAATTATATTTTTAAGAAATAATTGTCTTATTGGTCCGGATATACATACCTACATTTTATAAACAAGTATTTTACAATTTTTAATAACAAGAACGAGGTTGCGGTTTCCAAGCGCAGAAACGACATAATCGTATTCTATAGGTATTTTTCATTGTATTCCCATATCATTACAGGTATGTACACTATAACATAACATATTATTACACTAAACACATAAATAAATCCTACGCATATGTGGTAAACAGTACGACAAATAAATAAAATAAACTATGTATAACAAACACCATAACACACGCAACTCGTGAATATACAATAAAATTTAAATAAACACATTATGTTTTTATTACGCACTCATGATGTATTTACTAAAGAACACATAAATCGATCGTGACCGAATCGGGCTCGAGCAAGTAAGAAGATTCAATACCAAAATCTACTATGTGAGACCACCCCAAATTAACCGCACTCAACGACGAGCTGTTCGAATCGTTGACTGCCCCGTTGTCTCGGATCGGCTGGACTCTTTGGCACTGCTTAGGGATGTAGCCACACTATGTATTCTCTATCGCCTTTATCACGGGGAGCGTTCTGAGGAATTGTTCGGTTTGATTCCCGCCGCATCTTTACGCTATCGTTCCATGCGAAAAAATGTTCATTCCCATCACATAGATGGTTGGCAGTCAACAACTGTGCGAAAAATTTAAATGCATTATCTGTCCCAATTTCAAATGGTTACTTACTTCAAATTGACTGACAGACAGACGAGCTGATAGCCTGTCTCGGAGCAATAAAAAGGACAAGAAGGTTTGTTTCTTTGACACTTCCTCGCACACTACCCTGTGGCATGAGTACCTAATCTGGTGATTTAAGCCTCGCAAAAACGGGCGTCTCAATACGGTAGTTTCCAAATAGTCAATTCAATACTTTTATCCAAACGTCAAAAACTATACTTTTCTATGAAAGTTGTATGAAAAACTGAGTTATGGCGTCATAACATTTTCGCGTCAAATAGCTTACTTATTTCTTAATAATTAGCTAAAAAAAAATCTAAAACTTAGTGTATCGATCGATCGATGAAAAAAATATAATAATAAAAAAGTATAGTTATTTTTCAATATTTTATTGTATTTAAACGTCGAATTAATTTATTTTTGACCTAGTAAACTACCCAATTCATTCAATTGATTTTTACGTGCGCAAAATTTGGAAAACTAATATCTAGGTTTTAAACAATACATTTTTGTTACACATTATCCCCACCCAAGACGGGAGAAACAATTGTACGACTTTCCCCCTCAAAAAAAGAATCAGAAGTTACACGAGACATCTTCTAAACCAGTTATGTATATGGTATAAAAATACTCTTTATAAAATAACTGAAGTAGACGAGTCAATAAAACTGAATACATCCTGTAGTTAGGGCCGTAATTGTGCTATAAAGGGATGGTAGGGTTATACAGTTATAATTAAGTGGTTCAGTAAAATACTAGTTAGGTATGTCCATATTCCGAAGTAGTTTTAATGTAAAACCTTCATTTTAATAAGAGAA